CAACATGGGTCACACCCCTCCGCACCACCATCACCATCACCCTCCCTTAAAATAATCATCACCCCCACCAGCCATAAATTATGACCGGTCGATTAGCTGCAGTTTTTCTGACAACTCAGATATTTTCACAACTCACCTGCAGTCCTGTCTTGAAAGGGTAGTAACCAGACATTAAAGCACTTCTCGACCTGCGTGTTGGAAATAACACCATAATACACTTAAAGCTTACAGAATAGATCTCAGAATGTACAACATGCAAATGAAATGCCAACTAGTTTCTGTTAAACAAGTAGCTTATACATTGATACGTAGTTATATTGATGAATCACCACAACTAGGAACTAGCTGTTCGTATATTCATCTGAATCTGCCTAAAACTCGGAAAACAATACCTGACATCAATAGTTGGCCGTGGCCTCCACACAAGGAAAATCATGAACATGCCAACTCAATAACGAAGTATATATGTTCAATAGTCCGACAGTATTGATTAGGGCTACTAATTAGGGTTACAGGCCGTCTGGACACACGGATCATTCAGTAGCAAGTCTTCTGCCCCTTATGAACAACAGTCCAGTTGCACACACAATTGATTCCGTATCAACATTTGCGCTACTCACGGACTGCCTACTGGTTGGACATTGGATTGATCCAGTATCGAATGTTCTGCTACTTAAGGACTGCCTACTGGTTGGTCATAGGATTGATCCAGTATCGAATGTTCTGCTACTCACGGACTGCCTACTGGTTGGACATAGGATTGATCCAGTATCGAATGTTCTGCTACTTAAGGACTGCCTACTGGTTGGAAATAGGATTGATCCAGTATCGAATGTTCTGCTACTCACGGGCTGCCTACTGGTTGGACATAGGATTGATCCAGTATCGAATGTTCTGCTACTTAAGGACTGCCTACTGGTTGGTCATAGGATTGATCCAGTATCGAATGTTCTGCTACTCACGGACTGCCTACAGGTCGGACATAGGATTGATCCAGTATCGAATGTTCTGCTACTTAAGGACTGCCTACTGGTTGGACATAGGATTGATCCAGTATCGAATGTTCTGCTACTTACGGACTGCCTACTGGTTGGACATACAATTGATTCCGTATCAACATTTGCGCTACTCACGGACTGCCCACTGGTTGGACATTGGATTGATTCCGTATATATTCTGCTACTTACGGACTGCCTACTGGTTGGACATATGATTGATTCCGTATATATTCTGCTACTTACGGACTGCCTACTGGTTGGACATTGGATTGATTCCCTATATATTCTGCTACTTACGGACTGCCTACTGGTTGGACCTACAATTGATTCCGTATCAACATTTGCGCTACTCACGGACTGCCCACTGGTTGGACATTGGATTGATTCCATATATATTCTGCTACTTACGGACTGCCTACTGGTTGGACATAGGGTTGATCCAGTATCGAATGTTCTGCTACTCACGGACTGCCTACTGGCTGGACATTGGATTGATTCCGTATATATTCTGCTACTTACGGACTGCCTACTGGTTGGACATACAATTGATTCCGTATATATTCTGCTACTTACGGACTGCCTACTGGTTGGACATAGGACTGATCCAGTATCGAATGTTCTGCTACTCACGGACTGCCTACTGGTTGGACATAGGATTTATTCCGTATCAATATTCTGCTACTTACGGACTGCCTACTGGTTGGACATAGGGTTGATCCAGTATCGAATGTTCTGCTACTCACGGACTGCCTACAGGTTGGACATAGGATTGATCCAGTATCGAATATTCTGCTTTTCACGGACTGCCTACTGGTTCGTCATAGGATTGATCCAGTATTGAATGTTCTGCTACTCACGGACTGCTTGCAGGTTGGACATAGGATTGATCCAGTATTAAGCCTTTTTCTGCCAGTTTGTCAATGTTGGGTGTGATCATATTGGGGTTATGAAAACCCACGTCGTTCCATCCTGAAAACGTTTAAAATTTTGAAATCGTAATACTAATATTTATTATAACATGTTTTATATACTTTCTCAATATTAATTAGTTTTGCTTCCAAATACGTAAGTGTAAGCGAGGATTGTGTTATTCACCATTCCAACATTTTCTTCAATTTCATTGTTGACCTAAATCCGAAATCCTCGAAACCTTCATCAAAATGCAAACATGAAATGTCGATTATATAATGAATTTCATAAGACTTTCGGTCACCTTGTCAGAGGATGCCAACAGTTGGCACAATCACATTTTCGTAGCGAATTGTATTACCTCTTTGCCACGTGTGTGGGTTTGACTCAGAAGTCCAACCTTAGTACGACCCAGTTTATATTGAGGACGTCATGGCAAATGACAATCATACAATAGGCCCTCTAAATAGGCCATTATACCGTATCGATGTAACAGGCACTATACAGATATGAACTTTATTTATTTATTACTTTATTCATTTATACAGATTAATGTTTAATCCAATGATGTTTCTCAAATAAACGGGTTAAAAGATTTCGACTTTCTCAAGAATGTCCATGTAATAATATTTTTGTTTTTTATATTTTACAAAAACGAAACTTGGGACATTGTGACGCTTGTAATTAAATCACCCCCAGTTTGCACAGAAACAAATAGTTTCGAAGCCTAATCATACCGAGATCATCCGCCACGATGAAGACAATATGTCGTGGACTGCCTGCTGCAGCAACTCCATCACACAGGTTGACGACGACCAATAATGTGCATAACAACTGGACAAACATCCCTGCTTCCATGTACAGGTATCACGCGGTGATGTCCTTCTTCCTCGAGAGAATATGGCCGATTGTATGTTGAGAAAAACCTGTCTGTGTTGTATTAACAACGCACCGGCTGACTCCACGATCCCTATCTGACCTGACCCAGTACGTGGGCGAAGATTGTACTCCACAACACTGCTTCTAAAGTAAACCCTCTACCCGCCAAACATGTTAAGACACGAGACGGACCGGGTTAGAGTTGGTCTTCAGCAACCGTATATAAGAGGCGACTGAGGGGATCGGGTAGTCAGGCTCGCTGACCTGTGTCATGTTTGACTTGTCAAAGCATGAAGTGATGCAGGTGTTGCGCCGTTTTTACCAATATTCCGGCATATCTTGGCGGGGAACACCAGAAATGGGCTTCATACATTGTACCAATGTGGGGAATCGAACCCAGGTGACGAGCGAACGCTCTAACCACTAGGCAACCCAACCGCCCTGCAGGTGTTAGAGATTTACCACTGTGATACTCACTTGTATATTTATGGTCTGAGTAACACAGAAACATTACCTTAACGAATATCGCAAACCGAAACATGAGTCTCACTAACCAATGCAGACAATGACCTACTTTTCAGCCGATCCGATTTTTGGCGTGAAAAGTGAAAAGAGACTCTACAAACAACTATGGTTACACCAAATTCAAATTCCTTGTTTCATAAGAAAATGGTACTTAAGTGACGTCACAGATTGCCCCTGTTTGAAGAGGTCTTGCAATGATTCACAATTCATCTGGCTCACTGGTTACACCTGTTATGTGTTTTTTGCCCTTATTAAGTGTATTTTTGTAACGTACAATGTGATCGATGTAATATCAAGTCCGTACCAGACCGCCAAACATTTCTAGCGGCACGAGCCTCGTTTTGAGATTTCCACGATATCCAGGTTTCCGTTTGTCAGAGCACGCTGTACGACAGAGCACGCTGCACGGCGTGTTTGCAAGAATCAGAAGGAGCGTAGTGTTGCAATATACAAGTGATTAGATGTATCAAATAATACTGATTAATATCTTTATATCCAGTTGAATGAGTTGGTCTCGAATTTCTGGACTGTTTATTGTACTAAGTTGCGCAACAGGACGGAACCCAGTCATCAAGAAACGAGACTGTTGTGTAATGAATGTTTTGACTTGATTTGAAGCAAATATCTGATGTTCCTGACGTGATCTGGGGAGGTAACTCTGCACGCCGAATTGCAAGTATGACAACGGTGAGTAAAAATACATATATTTAAATATAAATATGTTTTTGTTCATTAACGCCGCATTCAGCAATATTCCAGCCATACTGCGGCATTCTGTAAATACTCGAGCCTCCACCAGACAATCCAGTGATCAACAGCATGAACACGATCTACGCAACTGGGATGCGACATGTGTCGACCAAGTCAGCGAGCCTGACCACCCGATCCCGTTAGTCGCCTCTTGCGACAAGCATGGGCAACGGAAGGATAATTGTAATCCGGATCTTCATGGGTAGAGCAGATACAACGACAACCGCAATTCAAATAACGACTTTATTCCAATGTGTTCAAACAGGAAACTCTCAGCACCAACCAGGGGACCAGACATTGCCGTACAACTCAGGGTTGCACTTGGGGTCGGGAAGCTCAGGGAAGTTAGGTGACACTGCCTGCTTCTCATACCAGGCCAGCCTGGCAGCAAGCTTCTTCACCATGTCCGGCTGGGATGTGGAGAGGTCGTGGTGCTCGTTGGGGTCATCTATGGGCATTAATACATGCAAACTGACACAAGACGAGCAAATGTATATAGCAAAAAATAATGTTGTTAAACATTCTCGGGCCGTTAACACTGAGTCAATCTCTTGTACACACATATGAAGTTATAAGAATGTATATACAGAAAGGCAGAGAAGACATCAGTGACGAGAATGAGACAGACGAGCAGTGAAACAGACAGATAGTCAAAGAGAATGTGACGGGCAGTGAGTGAATGAGTTAAGTTTTACGCCGCTGTTAGCAATATTCCAGCAATATCTCGGCGGGGACACCACAATGCTTCACACATTTTACCCATGTGAGGACTGGAACCCGGATTTTCAGCATGAACGCGCGAACGCTTTAACCATAAGGCTACCCGAGAGCCTCTGACGGACAGACTGAAAGAGACCTAAGGATAGCGACAGAGAAAATGAGACTGTCTTGCAGGGACAGATCAGACAGATCTCAGGAGACAGACCCTCATTCCATGTCACATTTACCTTTCAAGTTGAACAGCTGATACTTTGTGGCCCAGTCCTTGATGTTGGTGAGACTCAGGTTGGTCACTTGTTCCGGCTTGTACCAATCATTGTACAGTCCTGGGAAGCCATCGATCAGCTTGTAGTCACCAACCCTGCAATAATTGACCCGATGAGTTACCGTGGAAGTGTATTTCCAAGTCTTTGCAAATATCCTCAGACTCCTCAACTTAGGTATTCCGAGACATAAGTGCTTGATGAAAGGTCGTGCTTGAATTGAGTGATATGGGCACGGTGATTTCATCCCAGTGTCCCAGTGAATTTATTGATGTTTAATATCATTCCGTTAACGTATTACCGTATCTCTCGGTACCCATGAGGACACGGAAAGAATTGGTCTTCAGTAACCCATGCTTGTCGTACGAGGCGACTGGTCAGTCTCGTTGCATGGTTATCGTATCCCAATTGCGTAGATCGATGTTCATGCTGTTGATTACTGGACTGTCTGATCCAGACTCGATTATTTACAGACCGCCGCCATATAGCTGGAATATTGCTGAGTGTGGCGTTAAACAACAAACAAAACCTCACCTCCCCCACCCTACCCCCTACCTGATGGCCGCGTGTCCCTCTTCCGGGAATGGGTGTGAGTCGTAGTTGTAGACGAACTCAGTGCGGGGTGACGGGGAGGATGCACTGATACTCGGCCACAGGTTCATGCCGTCGCGGTCTGTCACTACAAATAGCAAAGAATGAATGGTGGACAGCTTTTATATTTGTGTTCAATAACTCAGAGGCTGACCATACTGAATGCTATAATTTCTGACTGAATGATAAGTCCCTATAATAAAGTTTCCATCCTTTTTTCAATAAATGATAGGGACATGGATGACCCTGCCGTCGACGGCGCGGTAATTAGTTGCGTTGTCTTTAGAAACCTACGAGGTCGAGTTTCAGATTCCCAGTGAGTATATGTGTTTGTTTGTCTGAAGTCGAGCCGTGCTTGTGGGGTTCACCTTCGTGGTAAACGTCCTTGACCTACATACCAACGGAATTCCTTCCACCAGAAAACATGACGTGAAACATTACTTTTCAGAACGGTTTTATACCAAATTCACTCCCACAACAAATATTTAAAGAAATGACTTTCATACTCTAATTAAGAATTGCGGACAAATCTTCTACTTTTTCCTATCCCAGTTAATTTCATGAATACCCAATGTCGTTTAGTGACGTGACGTCTATAATACGGGTGCATCAGCAGAAGCGTTATCAATAAAACCGGGAGACTGAGAGATGACAATACATAAAATTAGCAGTGTAATTACAACAGATTTTAGAAAATATATAACTAATGTTTGTTCTAAAGTATCTAAGACAGTGACTGTATTGTATTTACTTCAAGGCGCCAATATGACCGACATGTTCAACGTGACTGGGAAGACGTTAATTATTAAACGTTACTTTCACAAATGCAGTTTCACAAATATTCGGGTCTTTTAGGGCCTCCGATTTGAATTTAGAACCTAAATACCCATCATTCGAGCATGATTTAGGCGGGGAACACCAGAAATGGGCTTCACACATTGTATACATATGCGAAATCGAACTCAGGCCTTCGGCGTGACGAGCGAACGCTACCGCACCGCCCCACTAACTGTAGATGAAATGCATATAGGCTAATAGGGGAAGAATTTTGTTTACCTAGCTATCACATCAACAATTGTCAGTTAGATATATGGCATTATAAACAGCCAAGGTGGCATTATAACCACGGACACTAAATCATAACCATCACTACACTATAACACTGTTCTTCATTAGAGAATATGCCCAGGACAACATGAGTGTTATTCAATTATGTCATATGACTTTGGAAATGCTATCCGATGGCCACACCCTACTGTACCTGGGGTCCCTCCTGCTGCTGCAGTCAGGGTGGGCAGCCAGTCAACGGCGTGGATCAATCTGCAACGACATCATGCAACGTCATTCAACATTTTCAACATAATCATGAAAGAGAGCAAGAAACAATACAGTATACAATAACGAACTATCATGGACTTCAATAAATCCCCGAGACCTTAAGTGTTCCTAAACATCATTATATTTTGTTTCAAATAGATCTTTAAGTTTTGTCATTGACATCCAAAAGGCATGTAAATTTAAGCAAAGTCCTATCCTGGATACGTTTTGCTGCTCCATAACGAACGCGTCAACAGTGTAAGAACAAGAAAGGACGGACACAGTAAGTATTACTGTTTTATATGTTTTTCTGATACTAATTTTTTATGTTTTGTCACTGACAACCCAAAGAAACATAATTTAAAGCCAAGATTTATCCATTTTTCCTTGGTTAAATAAACGTCAGTTGTATCTCACCCGTCGTAAACATTTCCAGGTTTCTGGAGACCAGAAAGTGATACGTTTTTGCCTGTTCAAGAATCATTTTTAACCAACACTGCTTTCTGCTCCATGAAATTAATATTATTGGAGGAGCTGTATGTATTGTTATTGCTGTTGTTATTATAAGTATTTCCTGGCTGGAATTTCTCACCCGTCACAAACAGTTCCTGGTTTCTGGAGACACGACGATGGTACGCCTTTGTCTGTTCAATAATCATTTTAACCAACAACTGATCCTTTCAACCCCAACATAAGTTTTGGCTGCTTTCTGCTCCATGAAATTACGTGGGGTGAGGTGAAATTGGGTTTAACGTCGTGCTTGAGAATACTTCGCTCATATGACGACGTGCATGCGTGTGTATATGTATGTGCGGCTGCTTGTACTAGCCCAGACTTAAGCTGGTTTTATAGTGCTAGCCCACTGAGATACCACGCCGCAGTGAAGCATGAATACCCCACTAAGACACATAATACTGACTCCGAGCCGCCCAGTCCTTGTTGGACCCATTAATGCCGAGCGCCAGGCAGGGACCAACAAGTACCATATTTTAACGTCTTTTGGTATGACGCGGTCGGGGATCGAACCCGCGACCTTCCGCTCTCCGGGCGGACGCTCTAACCACTACACCACGGAGGCGGTTTCCATGAAATTAATATCATTGAAGGAGGTGTATGTATTATCAGGCGCGTAGCAAGCCTTTTTTTTCGTGTAAACCCGATACGTTACAAAGCTTCATATTTAGGTAGTATTGAGGGCTTGCCCAGCCGTTTTAGCAATAACCATGTGTAAGCCCGGGCTTTTTTTGTTATTGTAGCTACGCTCCTGATTATTATTGCTGCTGTTGTTGTTATTAGTATTTCCTGGCTGGATTTCTCACCCGTCATAAACAGTTCCTGGCTTCTCTAGACATGATCCATACATGAACGCTGCTGCTCTCGTTCCCCCTTCGTACACACTCAACTTGCCACCTCGCAAGGGGAAGTTGTTGCCATGCTCGCTGATCCATCCACCATTCTAAAAGAAGGATACAATTAAAAGATGTGCTCATCGGTACTGTCCAGTGCCATCATTGTCAATAATTTACCTTTGTAGCGGGGCATTATACAGGGAATTAAGCGTTTATGGACTTTGTACAGTCGTATCAATTATGTTGCGACATTTTTTATGAAACTGAACAATTAAGTGGTAGTTGTTTAGATAACATGATCAATTCGAGAAATAATTAATAAGCCGACAGGCACCTTTGCGGGAATGAAAGGTATACATGGGCGGATCCAGGAATTTTGAAGGGGTGGGTGGGTGGGGGTCAGGGGTTAAAACCCCTGAACCCCCTTGGCTCTGCCAACGCAATTTTTTTTTTTCAATGCGGTCTTAAGTCATTTTCAAAGGGGGGGTCGACCCTCCTGACACCCGCCCCACACCCCCGCCCGGATCCGCCACTGCTATACTTATCACACAACCATCCATACGTTGTCCAAATGTCACATGCGATTTGACAACGAACACATTGCAGCAACACACACAAGATTGCAATACTATAGACTTGCGGTTACGTGTCAAGATGCCCGTTAATTCTTAAATACTGAATAACTTATACATGAATAACGTGACACCATGACTGATATCATGAGCAACGTTTCGTTCCACAAATGCTCATAAGACCAAATGCATTGCTCGCAGTTGATTCAGAACGAAGCAGCACGAATGATCCTCCGTGTTCACAAGTACGATCACATATCCCATCACTTATAGAATCTCCACTGGCTCCCAGCTTCATGACGGGTCCGCTTTAAGCTTCTCCTGCACACAAGTGCTACAACAATCTAGCCCCAGCCTACTTGTGTGATCTTCCGAAATCCTACACACAGACAGACAGACAGATAGTTTATTAAAGTCTCACCTCACAAGCGCATAGTAATACACAATACATGTACAATAAAACAGTGGGTTACGAGAGACTATTAGCTAAGAACATATACCCCAATATGAAAACTATATACACATAAAAGTTATTATTACTATAATAACGAAGAACAATAAACAATACATCAGTAAGATGTCATAAAGTATACGTATACATACACAATATAAAACCATTACCTATTACCAAACACTCTAAGATCCCAAAACAAACATCTACTGACTGTCCCATCTGTAAGAACGAGTACCTTTGGAAAAAGGACTTTCCAATTTGCTGCTCCCACGTTGTTGATTCAACTTCCAGACCACATTAAACTTGACCCTAATGTGACAATAAACACAAGCAGACTCAAAACTCATCTCTTCAGCGATGCCTTCCGATGTCCAAACTGCTGGCGCACAGAGCACAACAGACTGATTGCTGCGCATTATACATGCATATCATCATAAAACCTACCACTATACAAATCGGGTATTTACATTCAACCTTCTTCAGCTGGAATAGTGCTGACTGCGACATTTAACAACGTACACGGAAATAAAAACGATGGAAACCCATGAGGATGTCAACTCGTGTCAGCCAATATGTATTTGAGGAGTGCATACTCGTCCTCCCATACTTTAAACTTTAGTAAAAAAAAAACGTGCGCGTGCGTGCGTACGTGGTTTTGTGTGTGTGTGTGTGTGTGTGTGTGTGTGTGTGTGTGTGTGTGTGTGTGTGTGTGTGTGTGTGTGTGTGTGTGTGTGTGTGCGCATGCGTGCCTGCGTATGTTTGTGGAGAGAGAAGATAGCTAATCTGTACAAGAGTTTGCTTTACGGGTTCAATTCCTCACGTGTGAACACTCCTGTGATGAGCTCTACGTTAATACCGCGGGAATATATTTAGCGACGTTAACCTCAACTGAAATATTACTGGTCTTTTCTGACCAATATCACCCTTGGTCATCTCATTCCAAAGATTCATTTCAACACACGTGATGGAAACTCAGATGAGTGCATCACAGTGCCTTATGAGTTACAGTAACACTTACATCGGCAGTAAAAAGAATCAGTGTGTCATTAATCAATACAGGTTCTGCAGTAATATTTCATAGCGGCGTTGTCTTGGATTCACGCTGAACTTACATGATGTATATGTCATGTTTTAAGGCCATAAATGTGGAAATTTTTATTTTTGGCGGCCATTTTGAATTCTTTGGAATGAATTATTCAGCAAATCATGTTATAATATATTTTACTCCAGTTTCAAAATTTAAGTCAATCAAGTGTGTCTTCTGAGAGCAGATATATAATAAATTATTGATATTTGGCGGCAATATTGGATTTATGCTATTTTAACAAATTTCTTAGGACTTTTAGTATGGTGTTCTAAGGACCTCATAGAAATGCACTGTGGTGAAAATATTTTTGTTACAATTTGTTCCAAGTTGTGTGCTAAACTGGCTTAGCATGCCTGGACTATTAGTCCATCAGTTTCACAATTGAATTACAGATGGTGTAAAGAACTACTTACATCCGCAGTAAACAGAATCAGCGTGTCATTCATTAATTCGCTGCTTGTCAAGGCCTTTGTTATGTTACCAATTGCGTCGTCAAGAGCTGAGACCATTCCTGGAAGCATGGGAATCAAGAACTCCAGGATAAGGACTAAGTCCATTTTAAAAATCATTTCAATCTAGAACTCCATAATAAGTATTAAGATGATTCCGAGAAAACACTGAGGACATTTCCTAAAATCATTGAAATCAAGAACACTGTGAAAAATAATGTGAAACCCTTTGTCATTAAATGAAACTCGTCATAGGGCTTCTCCTTGCCATCCTTAACTAAAAGTAACAACTTTGAAATGAATAAAATGAATTTTCTTGAAATGTCTAATTCATACATACCACAATATTTACGACGACCTTCAGTCTGTATGTTCGGATACAGTGCTTCATACTTTGGGGGAACCTTTAACATGTGAAAAGTTATGACATTCATAAGTTTTAGTCAGGAACACAGTAAAATGAATGTCAGCAACATTTATGAATTAAGTAGTACCTCTATGGGTGCGTGAACGGCTTGAAACGGCAGGTACAGAAACAGCGGCCGACTCTTGTCGTGACGTCCGATGATGTTGATGGCTTCATCAGCAAACCGATACTGAAACAGTTACGCAGAAAACTAATTTGTGAATCCAGTGAACGAAAAATGTACATGGCAATGGCGCTTCTGTTATTTTCTGTTATTCGTTACCGTTGAGTAAGTTCCGTTCTCTGTCTTCTCGGCGTTGGTGTTATTCCGGTAGTCCAAGAAGCCAGCGGTGGTGTGGGTGTAGTAATCTTCCCTGGCGTTGTAGTAGCCGAAGAAGCTGTCAAAGCCGCGGTACGTCGGGGTGCAGTTCCAGCTGCAGAACCCATTGTGCCACCTGGACCATACGACAGGAACTCTATTAGCTCTGTACAAGACCTGCTGGTGCTGCTACAACTACAACAACAACTACTACTACTACTACTACTACTACTACTACTACTACTACTACTACTACTACTACTACTACTATTACTACTACTACTACTGACCGCCTCCGTGGTGTAGTGGTTAGAGCGTCCGCCCGGAGAGCAGAAGGCCGCGGGTTCGATCCCCGACCGCGTCATACCAAAAGACGTTAAAATATGGTACTTGTTGGTCCCTGCCTGGCGCTCGGCATTAATGGGTACAACAAGGACTGGTCGGCTCGGAGTCCGTATAATGTGTCTGAGTGGGGTATTCATGCTTCACTGCGGCGTGGTATCTCAGTAGGCTAGCACTATAAAACCAGCTTAAGTCTGGGCTAGTACAAGCAGCCGCACATACACATACACACGCATGCACGTCGTCATATGAGTGAAATATTCTCAAGCACGACGTAAAACCCAATTTCACCTCACCTCACTACTACTACTTCTACCACCACTACGACTACTTCTACGACTCCAGCCACTACTATCTTGCCTTTCTCCAACGTCTTTCTCAATGCTACTGACGGCATAAAAAATATAAGACTGATATCAGTTATCTGAAATAATTCACAAGAAATAACGAAAAGTTAATAATTTACAATAGCGCCATTTTATATCGGTAATAAAATACCAATATAAGCTCGCTAAATAAATGACATCACAGACATAAATACTGAAATATATCACATCATTTCTCACATCAAGTTCTCTTTACCCTGAATCTCTATATTAGCTGTTTGTTTAAAAATATTAAGACATTTTACTTATAATAATGTGTTTTTTTCTGTCAAGTATAAATGTTTAGAATCGCCTTGGGCTAAATACCCTTGAAAATCCGGGTTAGAATAGGAACCGACAAACAGGATCGGATGGGCAGTGCTCCTGATGTCAACCCCTAGATTGTCTAGTCCAGACTCGATTATTCACAGCCATATAGCTGGATTATTGCTGAGAGCGATGTCAAACAACAAACAAACAAACATTCGTGGATTAAACTTCACCCCACAGGGGTGGAAATAACTTTAAAATTGCTAGGGTACTTCGGTACAGTGGCACATGTAAAATCACTTGCCCTGATAATTTTCCCACTATACCGGCCGTTTTCTTGTTGATTTTATAAATAAACAACATAATTAATATTGGAAAGTCAACTGGACACCGGTACATTGTGATATACAAATTTGCTTGCCCGACAGGAAAAACCACTGGACTCGGGCGTCGGGCAATGGGTTATTTCCACCCCTGTCCCACTTTGGCTTGGAAACGTCCGATGCTGTACAAGGGCTAAAATGCTAAAATTGATCGAGCAGGTAGGGCTAAGGAGTGTGACAATTTAGCAGGCAAAAGGTTAATAAATAACCAAGCACATACTTCCCAATGATGTGTGTGGCATAGCCCAGCTCCTTCAGTTTCTGTGGCAGGATCGTGATGTTTTGGGGTAGACATACTGGCTGGTAATTCGCAATAACAAGATGCTGCAAGAGAGGTAACATCGTTATGTTCATGTGCAGACTCCTCTTCAGTCACGAGTCATCTTTCATCCATTACGTTGGTGACAGGTCGAATTTACGTTATACACAAGTTTATTCAAGTAACACTTTCGTTTAGCTTGGACAATTCTCAAATCACTATAATGCAGGTCTTTCAAGACAGATGAAATACCCCAGTGGAGGTTCTTGAGGAATATGTCCTCAGAATCAATTGATTGGCTAATGGATCGACTAAAGCATGGAATGATCTCACTGACTCACTCACTCATGTGAAGATCCGGGTTAGAATTAATCTTCAGTAACCCATTCTTGTCGAAAGATACGACTATTGGGATCAGGTGGTCAGGCTCGCTGACTTGGTTGACACATACCAACGTATCCCAGATGTGTAGATCGATGCTCATGCTCTTGATTATTGAACTGTCTGGTCCATACTCGATGATTAACAGACCGCCACGATATATCGGGAATACTGCTTAAACACCAGACCACACACGCACGCACGCACGCACGCACGCACGCACGCACGCACGCTCTCACTCACTCACGCAGGTACTCACTCGACATATCTTTGATGCTACTGACTACCGTGTAACACTCACTCAGCACTACTCACCTGCAGCCCTGTTTTAAATGGGTAATATCCAGACATGAACGCACTCCTCGACCTGGTGTAGGAAATAACGTATAAATATGCTACCAGAACACACGATATTTTTTCACAAGTTAATTTGTCATGCATCTCACTTCCTGAACTTCGTTTCACTTGAATACACTGTAAACTAGCATCATAAATCTGGAACGAGGATGGTAATGTGACCCGCTTTGCTGTTTTTTATTCAACCCCGAACTTCACTGTATTGTATTTGTTTGGTTTTCATTGTATACAAGTGGATAGTCAGTAACGGCAAGTGGTGTGCTATATTTAGACACAGTTCTGGAAGGTACTGCAGAGTCCTGCAACCCTTTGGGCCTTTCCCCTATATTCTGACCCAGGGAGATGGAGAATCTTTTGGAGTTTTAAACATCGATGCACGTATACATTATAAAGTTTTGACAAACAGCCAAGCCATGACATGTCTGTGACTAATTCCATCATGTTATGTGTAAATACGTTGTATTTTGATTAGAACGCGGATGTTACGATATCCATTGTGCAATGTAATATAAGAATATGATATGTACATGCATGAATTCTTGGTCACAGTTCCTTAACAAATATTCTGAAATGAACTGAAATTACCTTCAACTGAATGTTTTGAATACCAAATCAGACAGTATTGGGTAGGTTTCAGAACATATTTTGAATATTGAGTTGAATATTTACGAAGCCCAGGATTGGACATATCCAGTGGAATCAGTTTCAAGCCGTATGTTAGTAACGGACTAAAATGTGGTTCGACATAAAGGTCATTCAGTAGAAAGCCGTCTGTTAGTAACGGACATAAACGTGGTTCGATACAAAGGTCCTTCATTAGAAAGCCATCTATTAGTAACGGACTAAAATGTGGTTCGACATATAGGTCCTTCATTAGAAAGCCATCTGTTAGTAACAGACATAAACGTGGTTCGATACAAAGGTCCTTCATTAGAAAGCCATCTGTTAGTAACAGGCATAAATGTGGTTCGACATAAAGGTCGTTGGATATAAGAATGATTCAAGATCCATCATCTGCTACTTACGGACTGCAGACCGGCTGGACATAGGATTGATTCAGTATCAAGCCTTCTCTTGCCAGTCTGTCAATATTGGGCGTGATCATATCGGGGTTATGAAAGCCAACATCGTTCCATCCTGAAAAAAAATTAGAATTCATCCGTTTATCCGATTATTAATCGTACTGATACGAATGGATGACACTTATACAGACGCCAATGCAGATGGCTGCTACCGCTGATACCTACATCAATTTTAAGTCAACGTGGCTTTTATCATGTCCGTGTCAACCCATCCTCACGTCTTCATAGGTCTTCATACAGTTCCGCTCCTAAGATCCTTTCTTCTAACTGCAGGTTCCCTCCCATACACGCAGTCCATTATGTGATCATGTGTACTGACCAATGTATGATAAAGTATATACATGTACTCAAACTTAGTGTAACACATACGTGTTTCGGGTCTCTGAATGACATTGAGAAGTGATACACATAAGGAGTTTTTATGCGTGTCAATTTCTTTATTATGAGGAACACAAGGTTTCGGAGTATATCCTCACTCCTGATGAAGGATAAAGACACTCTTCCTAACACGTTTCTCATTGGTAATTTTGTGAATAAATTTTTGGATTTGTACCAGATGAAGGTTACATCAGGCCATGTGTTCCAGAAGGGGATCATTGGGTGATGGTGGAGCGACATTGGGAGAGAGGCCGAGTGTGTTGAGAGGGACACGGCCCTTCTGACACTCTGGGTAATTCAGAAGCCTGCACTGTTGGCGGGCCTACCTATTCTCTCGGTGGGTTCGACTAGGCAGAGTTCATGGTGGGTTATCCCACTGAGGTCCTGGGCTGCGTGTAGAGAGGGCGAGGGTCGTGAACTGATGGCAAACCAGTCTAACCGTGTCAGGGTCCGCCGAACATTTTTTGTTGCATATATTTATAATTTTGATAATGTACATAACGATAATGTTGCTTTTGATATTCACAAAATGAAATTGCTCATCAGGGAATAATATGACTCTTAACGTCTTTGAACGGTATTTATGATACTCTTAAGAATACTTCGAAACATCGTGTTCCTCCCATTAAAGACGTTGACATCCATACAATTCTTCACTTGATGTGGCGGGGCGGTGGGGTAGCCTAGTGGTTAAAGCGTTTGCTCGTCACGCCGAAGACCTGGGTTCGATTCCCCACATGGGTACAATGTGCGAAGCCCATTTATGGTGTCCCCCGCAGTGATATTGCTGGAATATTGCTACAAGCAGCGTAAAACTAAGCTCACTCACTCATTACCTTTATGTGACCCTTGTTAAATTATCAGCACCATTTTCCAATTTGCAAAGAGAGGAAAACATACGTTTCGAAATCAAATCATACCGAGATCATCCGCCACGATGAAGACAATATGTCGTGGACTTCCTGCTGCAGAAACTCCATCACACAGGTTGACGATGACCCAAACAGTGCATAACAACTGGACGAACATCACTTCTCCCGTGGTCAAGTATCACACGTTGATTTCCTATTTCCTCGAGACAGGATGACCAGTTATGATTTCGACACTATTTGTGTCCGTGATATTTTACCCACAGCACCAGCTGACAACACATTCCCTATCTCGCCTGACATAGTTCGTGATTTTAGGCTGTACTCCACAAAACTGCTAATACCGTAAACCACTTAAAGTTTCAAACTGTCTTACCATTCATATCGGAAACCATGGAAAGCAAAGTGGTGGTCGGCGAATAACTGCTGTATGACTTTCGGTAGTTCATATACCCAACTGAACACTTCATATTACGTACTTATACAGACCCGTGAAGATCAGGGTTAGAATTGGTCTACAGTAACCCATGCTTGTCGTAAGGGGTGACTAACGGAATCGGGTGGTCAGGCTCGCTGACTTGGTTGACACATTTCATCGGTTCCCAATTGCGTAGATCGATGCTCATGAAGGTCTGGTCCAGATTCGATTATTTACAGACTGCCATCAGATAGCTCGAATATTGCTGAGTGCGGCGTTAAACAATAAACAAACGAAACTAACATACTTATATATATAAATTTACACGCTTAATGTTAAATAATTAATAATAACTGCAATATCACATAAAAGAAGCAAGGAGTATCATGGCAAAATCGTACTTACAGTATATTCCGATTTCCGCGAAATACGTTTTCAAAAAAAAATCCCATTGCTTCAGCATTTGTGTCTATGTGAAAAGTCCAACTCCTACCTTGATGGGTGCTGGCGGTTCTTCCTTGTAGCATCGAGTGACACCGACTCAGTAAGAAACAACACCACTTTGCAGCTGAAGTGGTTAGATTATGTAAGTATTCATTCGGCTACATATATACGTACGATGACCTGCGATCGGAATTGTTTACCAATATGTGTACTATCTATTGTAAAAATTTTCAATCTTACCGAAGAACAGAAATTTTGTTTTTTTAATGTCAAATTGTGAAGTTGTTAGTAGTGTTGCCAAAACCTTATTTCTTATTCTATATAGAAGGCGATGGTTGCCGTATAGCAGTTAAATTGTCTATAGACATATATTTTGTAATTTTCTTTTTTGAGCGCAAACGTTTTTCTATGACTTTTAGTAGCTTGTATATATTTTAGATTTAGTCTCTCATAATTCCATAAGGAATGGTGCATGTGCTTTTACTGGTCATTTGTTATTTTGTCTATTTTTTTATATTGTACATGCAGGTAGACGTTAATAAAGTATCTGTCTATATCCGTTGTAAAAAAGGATACGGATGTATCTTCAAATGTTGCGAGGTCATGGCGCTCGTTGGAGACGGCTATCGGCATTCACACAAAGCGATTCAAATTCAAACTGTTCTGCACACAACAAGTTGAACAAACCAACTTTCTTGAAGATGCAGACAAACTAAACCAGCAAATAATAGACATATTAATTACTGCTACTGACCAAAGCATCCTCTTAAGTAAATACACACAAAATACTCCAGTACCCTGGTGGAACAAAGAAGAGACAATAAACTGGCGCTGTACTGCATCTGACGCGTGAAGACAGACATTTTTGGAAGTTGGGATCATGTTTAAAGTAAGTGTTTTCTATTCGCCGTCCTATGCGATCAACTTCATTAATTCTATCACTGAGTTTTGTCATTCTTTTACTCCAACATGGTTGCCAAACCCCCTCTGATCACAATATATGGAATCTCTCATACCCAATTCACCTAAAACTCACAGATCCGTATTTATTGTAACACTCCTTCTTCTCATCAAATTAACTGATCTGTCCAAATTAACTGATCTGTCTCAAATAATTCGTGACACTACATACATATAGTATGACCAGAAATTATTGAGAATTTAGGAATATGTCTAATTGGATTTCTAGTATAAACAACCTTGACCAGCTATCAAGTCCTTGGTTTCATTCAAGAGAGTCAACTCCGTTAAACCGTTTTTCATTAGTTTGTGAAGAGTTATCCCCCTTTGTTTACTTGCTAGCAGACGACATTTTCAGTGATCCTCGGTATGGATGATTTAGAGAAGAGGAAGTTGATTTTAGAGTATTATAACAAGGACATCAGATCAGCTAAAGTGATTTCAAGTAGAACAGGCATCCCTTTGTCCACTGTTTATCGTGTTTTGAAAAATGTTGCAAATGGATATGGCATTGAGCACCAGGGAGGCGCAGGTAGGCCCAGAAAATTGACTGTCGGTGACAGGAGGCGGCTTAGTATTCTTGTTTCTAAAAACAAACGAAGGAGTTTAGAAAACTTAAGGCTGGATATGATTGATAGAGGAACTGTGGCTGTCTGTAAGGAGACAATTAGAACTGAGCTGCATGCAATGGGTTGGCAGAAAAGTCGAGGAATTCCATCACCGATCATGAAACCTGAACAAAAGGAGCGAAGATTGAACTGGTGCTTACAGCATAGAAATTTTAACTACGACAATGTGATTTTCTCAGGTGAAAGTTCTGTGTTGCTGTTTCCTAATAGACTGAAATTCTGGACCAAACAAACTGAAAAACCTTTGTATCAGCGCCCAAATTACAGTCCGAAATTTAACGTGTGGGGTGGCATATCTGTGTTGGGGCAACGCCCCTCTGTGTTTTTGAAGGGAATATGAACAGTGAGCGGTACACACATATTCTCGAGGGACATTTACTTCCATTTGCTCGCGTGTTCTATGGCAATATTTGGATTTTCCAGCAGGACAACGACCCGAAACATCGTTCAAAGCATTCGGACCCAAAATATGACATTATTAGATTGGCCAAGCTATAGCCCTGACCTAAATCCAATAGAAAATGTTTGGGGACTTATGAAGGAAAGTGTCAATAAGAAAAATCTAACAAATATTGCTGAAATGAAAGAAGAGGTGGTCCGATATTGGGACAGCATGGACCACGACTTTCTAACTTCTTTGATCAGTAGTATGCCCCGCCGCATTGAAGCTTGCATTGCTGCCCATGGTGACTTGACAAAATACTAACTGTTCACCTGTCTTTGAATCTGGAGTTATGTTCTGCTAATATTCACATTTAATACGTGAGTAATGAGTGAAAAAAAGAAATTACAATCTTTAAATTCTCAATAATTTCTGGTTGTACTGTATATACAGGGATCGGGTTTTCAGGCTCACTTGATTTGGTTGACGTGTATAGTATCCCAGTGGCATAGATCGATGCTCATGCTGCTGATCACTGGACTGTCTGGTCCAGACTCGATTATTTACAGACCGCCACCTTATAGCTGGAATATTGCTGAGTGCGGCGTTAAGCAACAATCAATCATGAATATATATATACACATTAATCTACAGATAATTGTCAATGTTTGGATTTAATATCAATCCTGGAGTTACGCATTTTCATCTGTAACATGAAAAAAATAAAATACATTATACAATTCTTTAATATACAAACAATCTGTGTCCCCAGTGTGGGTACGGGGCATAGGGTAGCCTAGTGGTTAAAGCGTTGGCTCGTCACGCCGAAGACCCGGGTTCGAATCCCCACATGGGCACAATGTGTGAAGCCCATTTCTGGTGTCCCCCGCCGTGTTGTTGCTGGAATATTGCTAAAAGCGGCGTAAAACCAAACTCAGTCAGTCAGTGTGAGTACACGTCTGGCACCAGAGTCACGTCCTTGTGTGGGGCTCTGACCTCGTACTATTCCTGGTGGTCGTGTATTTCAGTGTGAGCGAACTAAATGTAGTCTTGAAACTTTGTATTCACAAAACAGGAGTGTCTAACCAAAATTGGAGCGGAGTGTTTCTCACGATCATGTTATCTGAGGTATTATCAAACAAAACACGTTTAAACGCATGTGAACTGTACAGTTACCTCGCTACTCCTATTGACCTACGTATACGTTATGAAATGTAGCAGTATATTATCTTTTATAATACGAGTTGCAAGAGTACCGAAGAACTGAGACCTTTCCCCTTTGATACAGAAAAGTCTAAAACAGCTTTTGCCAATTTATCAGCCTCATAATTTCCAATAGCAGAACATGAGCTGGTATCCATAAAAATTCAACATCTAAAAGATCTTTACTTAAGTCATTAATATGTCGAGTAAAGGGTTGGTTAAGTCCTGCCTCGCTGAGGAAGAGTGAGTGAGTGAGTTTTACGCCGCTTTTAGCAATATTCCAGCAATATCATGGCGGGGGACACCAGAAATGGGCTTCGCACATTGTACCCATGTGGGGAATCGAACCCAGGACTTCGGCGTGACGAGCAAACGCTTTAACCACTAGGCTACCCCACCGCCCCTCGCTGAGGAAGAACCTACCCGAATTGCTAGTAAAGCACTGACAGAATCATAGAAAATGACCGCTGACACAGGTCTTGAATAATGAATCCGACGCAATGCTTCAACGATTGCTGAACATACTGTCAAGTGATCATCTGATCGTGTAGAGATTTCTTTATTTTCTTCTTTAGCAATGCAGACACCAACACGACCGGTCACTGGGCACTTAGATCCATCAGTGTAAATCTGCATTGCATTTATCCTCTGTAAATTTCGGACATACGTTCTTCGGCTATGGATTTTTAACACGAGGTGCTGGTCCAGGCATATTCACCTGTTCCAGTACATCAAGTTAGCGAGTAAATATTTTAAATCAAGATAAACTGATGGCAGTTCAAGCAACCATAGTGGCCTTTTAGGCAGTGCGGGGCGGTGGGTAGCCTAATGGTTGAAGCGTTTTTTGCTCGTCACACCGAAGATCCGGTTCGATTCCCCACATGGGTACAGTGTGTGAAGCCCATTTCTGGTGTCCCCCACCGTGATATTGCTGGAAAGCTGCTAAAAGCGGCGTAAAACTGAATTTACTCACTCAATCTTGAGCACTACATTAATATCATTGATGGCAGAGCCAGAACAGGATGAGACAATATCACTTGCTTGATAACGGTGTTAGTACCTACACCGAAACGTCGCACTCATTGCAATAAAGAAGTTGACTATCCATACAAATCAGTTTTCCTTCATCTTCACAACTTCTAAAATGCCTCTCAAAGGAAAATATTAAACTTTTATTAATCAAACCCCTTTGATAGAACAGAGCAGTAAATGGAAAAGAATAGAATAGAATAATACTTTAATGCCTTTTCAGGAATTTGTGTTACATCAGCAGAGCTACTGACACATCAGAGAGATACCAAACATATTTACATAAATTCTTTGATTTAGGTATCTTCACATTTGTTTAAGAGAGATATGGTACTTAGAATAAAGGATGTACGGGCTCTCTTAGTTTTCATAATTGGAACTTTATAGCGGCGGCCTGAAGGGAGGAGGTTGTATTCCGAATTTAAGTAGTAAGTACGGTCAGATATGATTTTGACAGCTTGATTCACGATTTGCCGCTCATATATTGATGATAAACATTCAAATCTGACTCCAGCGATTTTACTTGCAGTGTTAACAATTTTGTCTATTTTAGATTTGAGATGAACTGAGAGAGACCCGTACCAACAATGGAAGGAAAATGTTAAAATACTCTGAATAAATGCTACATAAAAAGATGACATCACAGATGGGTATACATTAAAAGATCTCAGTTTACGCATGAGATGAAGACGTTGTTGACACTTTTTGTATAGGGCTTCAGTGTTAGAGTTCCAGTTCAGCTTAGAGTCAATGAAGGTTCCCAGATACCTATACTCCGACACTGTCTCAACACATTCACTGTTGATTATCACTGGAAGCATTTCTGTGGGTTTACTCCGAAAGTCAATTATCAGTTCCTTTGTTTTTGTGACATTTAAAATTAAGTGGTTTTCTGCACAACAAGTCGTAAAATGATTAATGTCCTCTTTATACAGTTTTTCAGAATCGGTCTCGTTCAGTTTGCCGACAATTGCTGCATCATCTGCGAACTTTACAGTTGAACAGGTTGAATTCGAGCTTGCACAATCATTAGTGTAGAGGGTGAAAAGAACAGGAGATATTACACAGCCTTGTGGTGCACCAGTGTTGGTGGACCGTTTACTCGATACAGCCCCGTTAACTTTCACGTACTGCTGTCTGTCCACAAGAAAGTTTTCGATCCACTTGATGAGGTATGAGTTAACGCCCATGTCTAACAGTTTCTGTATCATGATATGTGGCTGGATAGTGTTGAACGCAGATGAAAAGTCAACGAAGAGGATCCTGATGCATGACTAAGGTGTCTCTAGATGTTTATTGACATTATTAAGGAGTGACAGTGTGGCATCAATAACTCCTCTCCTTTACCTGTAGGCGAACTGAAGCGGGTCTAGTATGTCGGCAACTTCCTGACGGAGATGTCTCAACAAGATGCGTTCCAGCGACTTCATTGCTATAGATGCGAGAGCAACTGGCCTGTAGTCGTTGAGTTCTTTAGGTTGTGTCTTTTTAGGAACTGGTACAATTTCTGATGTTTTCCAGACCGAAGGAATAACGTGTGTAGTCACTGAGAATTGAAACAATCTAGTGAAAACTGTACACAGTTGAAGTCTGCACTCCTTCAACACAATGCCGTCAAGGTTGTCAGGTCATTTTGCTTTTCTGATGTTAATTCTGGAGAAGCTTTGAATGACGTCAGCGTCTGATATATGGATACGACTTTCGCTATCCTGTACGGCTTCACTAACTTGAGCGCTCTCATTGGTAAAGTCGTGACAATCAAAGCGGCTGTAGAAAGTGTTGAGGTCCTCAGCAAAGGTTTTATTATCCCCGGCGTTGGTTGTCTGTCACCAACAGACAGCTTGGTCTCCCTACAAGAGTTGTATGCGGTCACTAGTCTCTGCTTAGTGATTTCAAAGTAACGTTCTGCTTGTTTTATTAAATACATTTTCATCGTATCGTGCACTTGCGGCGGGGTATTTTAGTGGTTAAAGTGTTCGCTCGCCACGCCAAAGGCGTAGGTTCGATTCCCGGTTCGGGGCGAAAAATCCAATTCACTCACAAACCTTTGGATCTTGAATCAAAGGTGTATGTAACTGTATTCGGTCACTGACTCTATTCAGTTTTACTGATATGTGCCTCGTTTTTTGTCCATGTCGACAGAAGCGTGATGGTGACAGGTGTCTGTTTACTTGGCAATACTGTACTATTTTATACTGCTTATCTATGATTTTCTGAATAAAGGCTTTAGCCAATTTTTAAAGACCACAAAAAACAAATTCTTCGGGTTTCACTTTTCTTGGGCTTTGTACACGGAACCAGGACACACTAAAAATTGGTTTTGGGGAATCATTGGGTTGTTATCGCAAAACGTCGGGGCTAATTGATGTTTACGGCAATTTCTGCTGGATGATACACGGTGACCCTAGAGGTGTATGATGGCCATGGCGATGTTTCCTCAATAAAAACTGAAGAACAGCCGCGAGGGAACACTCAGACCACTTCTGTGAGTATTTTTTAACTGCAAATGAAAAAAATAAAGAAGGTATTTATTGGTAATAGCAGAAACAAGGACAGACTAACAGTACAACCCGTAAACAAATCTGAAGTCAGAAAACTTACTGTCAAGCAAAGCATTGCAGATGCGGAGTAACTGGCAGCATCAACTGGCAGGGATACTGTCTCTAAACAGAGCATTCAGCTGTTGTTGTTGCCGTTGTTGTTGTTGTTGTTTGTTGTTGTTGTTGTTGTTGTTGCCACACTTAGCAATATTCCAGCTATATGGCGGCGGTCTAAATAATCGAGTCTGCACCAGACAATCCAGTGATCAACAGCATGAGCATCGATCTGCGCAATTGGGAACCGATGACATGTGTCAACCAAGCCAGCGAGCCTGACCACCCGATCTCGTTAGGCGCCTCTTACGACAAGCGTGGGTTACTGAAGACCACTTCTAGCTCAGATCTTCATGGGTTATTGAAATAACAAACCAACGTCATTTCCATCACGTGCTGACTCTACGAAATGACTCATACACTGGACGCCAAAAGAAACATTACCCTCCTACATTTATGAATTACTTGAAAACTATCAAAGATGTGTTAGAAGGTATTAGTTTACAAGAAAGCTTAACAACACAGTTTAATTAAAATCACGAAAACAATTCTCAAATGCATTCATATTTAGGTGAAATGCAACTTTTTCAGAAGAGTTAAATTGTCCTATTTTCGTCCAAGCCGAAATAAACCAATAACACAGATTTAGATGTCCAAAAGAAAGGTTAAAATAAAATTCTGGTTTGAGACAAAGATAAACCATATGAAGTCACCATTTTTCAACGATTAAAACAAGAAACAATTGTTGTAGAATGTGTAAAATTGTATAATAGTCATTCCTATCATTTCAGTCTTTTACAACATTAAATATTTTCTGCGGATTTGCATTAGCAGTATCAATCGCCAAAACACAGCAATTTTAAAGCAGTATTTGCATCCATTTCACATGTAGAATGATTCTAAAGGGTATAAAGAGAGCCTAGGATGCATGATATGATACATAAGTACGAGAAATATGCCACGATTATTAGCTGAAGAGAGAGAAAGAGCCATTGGGGTGGTGCAGGTGGGGTCAACATACAATGCTGCTGCCAAAGCCCTCGGATGCCATCCCGGTTATAAGACGTATCCAGGGCTTCAGACAGACTGGGGTTCCCGTAGACAGACCAAGCAGTGGACGTCAACGCATTACAACGCCAGCTGAAGATAGGTACTTCCGTCATTAAGGAAGGAGGGTAACGTTTCTTTTGGCGTATAGTGTATAAGTGGTTAATAGACCCCGACTTGCAACTGCACATATATACCCCGCCAAGTTAACTGTTAACTGCTTGCCGTAGCTCGCGAACAATGTAATGAGGTTAGACATAATTTCCGAGAACTTTATACCCCTCTGGCTCTACCTGGGTAGCGACATTAATAGAAATTGGTAATGCTACAATTATGTAAGAAATTATTAATATCTTGTGAAACCAGCTCCATTCAAGTATTGACAATTATATGAAAATACCTTCTTTTATTAATTGTTTACATATATATTTATCATTATTCAGTCTGATATTTTTCGGTATTCCGTAAAATAGAGTTTGTAAAATATTTCTTCAAATGCTCATGAAATCTTTCTTTTGGTTTAAATCTTTCCAAGATCATGTGTGAAGCGGGGTTTGACTGAAGATTTTACTAGCGCATCACTTGTCATTGTTCTATTTTAGAGTTATTCGCTCTTGAATAATCAAAAAGTGTAACTGATGCGAGTCCTTAAACAGATTATAGTTTTGTCAAGTCAGTTATATATAATGTCAAGGTGAAAAGGGCATCTAATGATATGATTTTTGTTTCAAATATGTCTTGTTCCGATAAACTTGTTTTTAAGCGCAACTGTTTGGAAACACTACGAAAATAATATGCCGAATTCGTATTTGTTTTCCGCTACATGATTTACAATTAGACGTTCAAATCTCGTGAGACCGAATGGAACCGAGCAAAGGATGAATTAACAGACGGATTTAGAACAGAAAATTATTATTTCTGCTGTCACATCATTCACCATCATGGGAGTGGCTGACGAGCTGAAAAAGACCAACAAAGGACTCCTTCGGTATAAGCGAGAGCTCAGCTCGGAGCTCGTGCAGGTGCGCTAATAATCATGATAATAAGCCCTTCCATATTGTTGCATCATTTCGGTTCTAAGTCAATGATCAATGACAACATTCATGGTCTAATAGTTTAATCAGTGGTTAGCCCGTGTGTTTAGGATCCATTACCCCTTTGCGATTATTGTTGGGTACACTGTTATTATGAAAGACACCTTCAAGAGACCATAGGCAGGAAAGATTTCAGCCCGTAACGCCCGTTTTTTTTTATATTATTCTATGCCTAAGAATAGATTTTTGTACAGAAAGCCTACCAAAACCCTAACTGTAAACCGGGTAGAATGCACTTTACCGGGCGCAGCCCTCGCTGCTCCCTTTACGATCCTTAGGTTTAGGGTTAGGCACCCTTTACGATCCTTAGGGTTAGGCACCCTTTACTATCCTTGGGGTTAGGCACCCTTTACGATCCTTAGGGTTAGGTACCCTTTACGATCCTTAGGGTTAGGGGTAAGGGTTAGGGTTAGGGAACCCCAGCAGCGCTAATTAATCTGAAAAAGTGCGCCCGGTAAAGTGCAGTTCTCCCAGAATACATTTCAAGCGAGGGTTACGGCTATTTTAACCTGCATCCAATCTGTACACATACGCATGCTGGAGCCACATTTAGGAGATAAACAACATGTGTTTGCAAATTTCCGGGTGTTATTGACTAATTGAGTATTTGAAGCATGGGAATTCATTTGGAACTGACAACATTGGCCAACACATAATGCTTATCGACATTGTAAACACAAAAGTAAACCAAAAGGTCCACACACGTTTTTGTGTCTACACTCATTGAGTACAGCTACAGCAGTGAAATGTCATCAGCCGGCCATTTCGGCTGTCTCCCATGGTGGCATCTGAAACTGCTCATTTGTGACGGAAGTACTGCACTTTACCGGGCGCACTTTTTCAGATTAATTAGCCCTGCTGGGGTTCCCTAACCCTAAGGATTGTAAAGGGTGCCTAACCCTTAGGATCCGTAAAGGGTGCCTAACCCTAAGGATTGTAAAGGGTGCCTTACCCCTAAGGATAGTAAAGGGTGCCTAACCCTAAACCCTAACCCTAAAGATCGTAAAGGGAGCAGCGAGGGCTGCGGCTGGTAAAGTGCATTCTAGCCTTTGTGACGTCATTCAGACTTTACGTCACCATATGATTTGAATGACGTCACCACTGCTGACGAGGTAACAATACAATGGTGTGTGCGATGGTTGTATGTATTATCATTAACAAGCAGCGAATGGTCTTGCAATTTCTGGGAATCGAATACCAATTGATCATGTTTTTCAACCAATCAGATTAAAGAACACAGTGACTTTTGGTTTACAATTCTACCTAAAACCCTGATTCCCCATGTCCTCCTTCATCATATAACTGGCATATTACTGAAAGTGAAGTGACATGGTTAAATCACACTCATTCATTTTCCCAAACTTAAATGATTACTATTGTTTCAGAAACTAACAGATGAGGTGTCTGCCCCTCCAAAGTTGTTTATCTATCACCCAGAAAACACGTCCTACAGGACTGAAGGCAAGGTTGTGCCAAGTCTGCAAAGTCCAGATGAGAAGCAAGACAAAGGGTAATTACATAATGTTTGACACATCATGTCAGTTGATTCTGTATTCATGTTACTATGACTTTAGCCACTTCTGATTACCAATGTAAATTTATGTTGCATTACCCAATAAAGACTAGTCCCAATGTTTTCACACAATGTCCTTTTCCCCCACATCAGGGCAATTGTACTTGATACGTGGATACATGTGTACATAGCGTATCATGAGCCTTGTGTACAATATTAATAAGGCCACTGACTTATATAGCACTGAACTGCACTCTGCACGGGCATGCTCTAAACGCATACAACATAAATGGACGTTATTACTCCACATAACCCAGTCTGCCTTTGAGACGCTAGAGGGGTTAATAGTCATTTGATTTCGCCCACCAGGTACCCATTTTCTGCTGGGTGAACAGAGACAATATTGAACGGACTCACTTGCCTGAGGTGAGACCACATGTGTCACGTGTGCTTCGTTGTGGGGTAGGACAGATGTCCTAGAAACTCTCAGGAGTCAAGCTGCCAAACATGGTCACCCATCCAAGGACTTTCCATGACCAACATTGTTATCCCCCGCAACGCGTTTTGCGGGGGGTATTAAAATGGACTCCGTCCGTCCATGCACATTTGTCTTTTCCGGAGCAGAACTCTAAAACCGTTCAATATTTCTTCACCAAACTTGGCACATACATGGATCTGGTGGTGTACTGGTGCCTTTTGGTAGTTTTGGAATTCTGAATTAAATATTTTTGGCGTTTCCATGGCAACAAGTTCGACTTTGACTGAAATTGGTGGTAGTGCTCTTTTCCGGAGTAAAACGGAGCATAACTCTAAAACCGTTCACTATTTCATCACCAAACTTGGCACATAGATAGATCTGGTGGTGTACTGGTGCCTTTTGGTAGTTTTGGAATTCTGAATAAAATATTTTTGGCGTTTCCATGGCAACAAGTTCGACTTTGACTGAAATTGGTGGTAGTGCTCTTTTCCGGAGCAGAACTCTAAAACCGTTTAATATTTCTTCACCAAACTTGGCACATAGATAGATCTGGTGGTGTACTGGTGCCTTTTGGTTGTTTTGGAATTCTGAATAAAATATTTTTGGCGTTTCCATGGCAACAAGTTCGACTTTGACTGAAATTGGTGGTAGTGCTCTTTTCCGGAACAGAACTCTAAAACTGTTCACTATTTCTTCACCAAACTTGGCACATAGATACATCTGGTGGTGTACCTGTGCCTTTTGGTAGTTTTGGAATTCTGAATTAAATATTTTTGGCGTTTCCATGGCAACAAGTTTGACTTAGCCTGAAATTGTGGTAGTGCTCTTTTCCGGAGCTGAACTCTAAAACTGTTCACTATTTCTTCACCAAACTTAGCACATAGATTGGTCTGGTGGTGTACTTGTGCCTTTTGGTAGTGTTGGAATTCTGAATAAAATATTTTCTGCGTTTCCATGGCAACAAGTTTGACTTAGACTGAAATTGGTGGTTCTGCTCTTTTCCGGAGCAGAACTCTAAAACCATTCACTATTTCTTCACCAAACTTGGCACATAGGTAGATCTGGTGGTGTACTTGTGCCTTTTGGTAGTTTTGGAATTCTGAATAAAATATTTTTGTCATTTCCATGGCAACAAATTTGACTTAGACTGAAATTGGTGATAGTGCTCCTTTCTGAAGCAGAACTTTCAAAACCTTTCAATACTCTCCTTCCACTTTTCTATATACACACCTAAATATTTGACATAATCATAACTAGTAGACATAATCATGAAGAGTATTTTGCCATTGCGGGGGATATTGATGACTTTGTCTTCTTGTTTAACTTGACCTGAGCTCTATGCACACCACCACCACTACAATACTGTATTGCTCTAGTATCATAACTCCACTACTTATTTAACTGTTCCCAGGAAAGACGAAGTTGCAGAGAAGGATGTCTCCGCCTCCTCCAGTAAGGCTGTTGATTGGACGGGAGACTGCACCGAGGAGGACAAGCCTCTGCCAACCAGCCTGAAGCTGTACACATCACCTCCTGTGTCCCCCGACTATGGCCGCACCAGTTTACAGATCCGCCACTTTGAAGTCATGTTTGAAAACAAGGCCAAGGTCTGATTGGTTGATTATTCATAAGGATTTTGACCTATGTTCTACTTTATGTCGCAGTGAATATTTTTACCTAACATTGATTACAAAGCAGAAAGGAACGTTTATTACACTCAACTGCATTATTTTATCAGTTTTGTCTTGTGAGCTTTGTTGCTAGATTTGCTCTAATATCTTTGTCTGGCATTGAAGAATCTGTTAAGTAATGGTGAAGGTTAGATACTTCATGGATGACGGCTTCTGTATTACATTAATATGTGACCGCCTCCGTGGTGTAGTGGTTAGAGCGTCCGCCCGGAGAGCAGAAGGTCGTGGATTCGATCCCCGACCGCGCCATACCAAAAGACGTTAAAATATGGTACTTGTTGGTCCCTGCCTGGCGTTCGACATTAATGGGTACAACAAGGACTGGTCGGCTCGGAGTCAGTATAATGTGTCTGAGTGGGGTATTCATGCTTCACTGCGGCATGGTATCTCAGTGGGCTAGCACTATAAAACCAGCTTAAGTCTGGGCTAGTACAAGCAGCCGCACATACACATACACACGCATGCACGTCGTCATATGAGCGAAATATTCCCAAGCACGACGTAAAACCCAATTTCACCTCACCTCACCTACATTAATATGTGACGTTTCTGTAATGATTCATCTTTCCTTATCCTGACTCATACTTATTGCTTAGTGTGGTGGGGTAGAATAGCGGTTAAAGCATTGGCTCGTCATGCTGAAGACCTGGGTTCGACTACCCACATGGGCACAATGTGAGAAGCCCATTTCTGGTGTGCCCCCGCTGTGATATTGCTGGAATATTGCTAAAAGCGGCGTAAAACTAAACTCACTCACTCACTCACTAGCTTATCTTCCCTTTCTCCTGTGCTACAGTGGAAACCTCTGTCCAATGTTCCCAAGAACAGTTTAAAAATAGCTCACCCCAAATGGGCCTCTCCCACGCCTGTGCACCAGCAACCCACGTGACAAAGTGGTAGCTGATCACTCTCACCATATTCGCCCTACAGGACGGTTGGGAGGATTCCCTCTGTTCACTATCCAGGCTAATCCTGGTTTATTTTGGCCCATCCATGTCAAGCAAGAGTGCGCCTAACTCTGATTACCGTATTTGGTGTATTTAGTGGCCCCTCCCTAAAAAGGGTCACCTGCCAGAAATACATTGCTTGCAGAGCACCTCCTACCCCAGTTTTAACTGTCAAATTGCAATACTGAATGGTATTGTGATCAACAACTGAACGACGTAGTCTGTATAGGTAACAGAGACGAGCGTCAACCTGGCGTCAGTCTTTGCAATACCTATTGATTGACTGATTGTGATTTTAAACCTCTTCCGAATTAAACAGCTTATCGACCTTGGCCCCGTTTTACAAAGCTCTCACAAGCCTAAGATCTCGAAACTTTTCTCGTAGAATTCATACCTCCTACCGGTATGTTACAGTATAGAAGGTACGATTCTACGAATGCTACGAGAAAAGTTACGAGATCTTAGGCTTACGAGGGCTTTGTGAAACGGACCCTTGGCCCTGACTATAACAGATACAGTATTTCACCCCCGCAGTACTGATTCCAGGACCTGATTGAAGCCAAGAGGAAGCAGTTTGAGAGGAATGAGCAGGAGCTGCAGCTGATGGTGGAGCAGAAGGCGAACCAGCTGGAGGAGAAGCAGCGTGAGGAGATGAGGAGACTTTACGAGCAGACGTCCAGACTACAGCTGAAAGAGTATGTCACATGACCTGTGGTGACCAGTTGCCCTGGACCAGGTTGAACTTGCTTATGTTAATGATGATCTGAACCTTAGCAACAAACATGGCAACTTTCATTGAGTAGTGTGATGAAATTGGTGAGGTATTTAAGAAAGTAAGGATTTTCAGCGACAGTATACACTCTCCGATAATGAACAATGCCACACACTCTTAAAACTGCAGCCTGTGAAGATCTTCGATAGAATCGATCTGTATAAGAGGCTGACTTCGTTGATGCATGTCAAAATGCATTGATCAATGCTTATCCACTCACTCACTCACTCACTCCATTTCTGTTGTGACTTGTGCTTTAGGAAAGCTGAGAAGCAAGAGGATTCAGCAGATGAGAGACAGCCATCGAACGAGGAAAAAGGTCGGTAGTTCACAATAGTTGAAAATTTTTGTTTTGTATTGAATTCAAGCATATTTTATACCTGCTGTAGAGTTACTTTGAATTTTTTTTGAGTGAAATTATGTCTGTCTAAAGCATCATTTTTAAAAATGATGTCCTTTCCTAAACATGATAATAGGAGCCTTGATCTCATTCATTTCTATACCATTGGTAAACTAATGTCCCATCACATATCTGTTGATCAGGTTTTGTTGAAAGGGTGATATCAGTTATTTGCTTAATGGGTCTCAAAATATAATTTGCACGGATTTCCATGTAATTCGCAATGTTCCAGGTGGCTTTGATAACTAAGGCTGTAGCACACAACGAGTCACATGACTGGTTACCTTGGTTACATTAGGCTCGTTTTTATAGTATTGTCACTAATTATAAAGTCTGATTTAACATCATGTGTCTTAGTCAGTGTAACACAAGCTGGCATAGTTATCAGGCCCAGTTATACAAAACAAAGTGTTAGTTTTGAAATTTAATACAAGGAAGGTGTATCAGGTGAAATTTTGATTGTTGTGTTTCTTTCCTTCTAAGATTCAAGATGACAAACTGCTTGAAGGAGAGAGGAAAAAGCTGCAATTGCAGGAAGAAGAAAGGAGAAGGTAGGCTACTATCGACTTAATATAAATATATCGGTCGTCATATTAAATGGTGACCTGTGAAGATCCAGGTTAAAATTTACCTTAAGAGTCGCTGACTTAGTTGACACATGCCATCTTATCCTGATTGCATAGAGCAGTGGTTGTGATGTTGATTACTGGATTGTCTGGTCTAGATTATTTACAGACCCTGCCATATAGCTGGAATATTGTTGAGTAAACAATAAACAGAATAAGAGTGAGTGAGTGAGTTGGGTTTTACGCCACTTTTAGCAATATTCCAGCAATATCACGGCGGGGGACACCATAAATGGGCTTCACACATTGTGCCCATGTGGAGATTCGAACCCGGGTCGTCAGCGTGACGAGCCGACGCTTTAACCATTAGGCTACCCCATCGCCCCAAACAGAATAAGAACAAATAAAAAAGTGAGCGGTGTTTTTCAGGAATGAGCAAGAAAAGAGGCAAGCCGTGTTGCAGCAGTGTTACTTAAAAATCAAACAGACTCATGACAACCTCACAGCTTTGTACGACAACTGTAAATACAAACAGCACCTGCCAGAGTCAGCTCAAGCTCCGAAACAGGTGTGTGTGCAGATCATGGCAAAGGCCGACAGCATGATGAAGAAAGGAGATCTGGCAATGGAGGAAGTGCAGGGGATGAGGAACCTGATGGAGTACTCCAAGAACACATTTGACTTCATGGTGAAACATCTCGGTATGTCAAGAGCATGTGTGTATCTGTGGTGAAATATCTCTGCGGTGAAATATCTCGGTATGTCAAGAGCATGTGTGTGCGGTTTCGGTATGCAGAGCATGTGAAATATCTCGGTATGTCAAGAGCATGTGTGTATCTGTGGTGTCGGTGTGTCAAGAGCATGTTATGGTGAAACATTGGTATGTCAAGAGCATGTGTGTATCTGTGGTGAAATATCTCGGTGAAACATCTCGGTATGTCAAGAGCATGTGTGTATTCATGGTGAAACATGTTGGTATGTCAAGAGCATGTGTGTACTCATGGTGAAACATTGGTATGTCAAGAGCATGTGTGTATTTGTGTATTCATGTGTGAAACATGAAACATTGGTATGTTGGTATGTGAAGAGCATGTGTGTATTCATTTTGAAATATCTAGGTGAAACATACGTCAAGAGCATGTGTGTATTCATGGTGAAACATATTGGTATGTGAAGAGCATGTGTGTATTCATTTTGAAATATCTAGGTACGTCACGAGCATGTGTGTATCCATGGTGAAACATGTTGGTATGCCAAGAGCATGGGTGTATTCATGGTGAAACATATTGGTATGTCAAGAGCATGTGTGTATTCATGGTGAAACATATTGGTATGTCAAGAGCATGTGTGTATTCATGGTGAACATATTGGTATGTCAAGAGCATGTGTGTATTCATGGTGAAACATGTTGGTATGTCAAGAGCATGTGTGTATTCATGGTGAAACATGTTGGTATGTCAAGAGCATGTGTGTATTCATGGTGAAACATATATGTCAAGGCATGTATGATTCATGGTGAAAGAGCATGGTCTGTATTGTATTCATGGTGAACATATTTGTTTGTCAAGAGCATGTCTGTATTCATGGCGAAATATCTTGTAATGTCAAGAGCACGTGTGTATCCATGGTGAAACATGTTGGCATGTCAAGAGCATGTGTGTATCCATGGTGAAACATCTTGGTATGTGAAGAGCATGTGTGTATTCATTTCGAAATATCTAGGTACATCAAGAGCATGTGTGTATCCATGGTGAAACATCTTGGTATGTCAAGAGCATGTGTATTCATGGTGAAAATTCTAGTGAGGTTAAGGCCTTGTGTTCCTGATAAGTGTAAGATGTGCCAAGAGCATGTGTATCTGAATTGTGGCTCAAGGGCTACAAATTATCTAGCTTATACAGCAGTACAACTGTGTTTGCTCTTTCAGAGGAGGCTACAAGAAAAGGCAAAGCAGAGGAAGCTGAGCTGGCCAAACAGCAGCAGCAGAAGCAACAACAGCAGCAGCAACAACAACAACAGCAGGCACAGCAGAAGGCAGCAGCAGAAGCAGCTCAGGTAAATTAGTGACATTTGACATAGAACTTTGAAAACTATCCAGCAGTTTAGCTATGGAATGATCATCGTACAAATGATTTAAAAGAGTTCCGATGAGGACATTTGAACATCGCTTTGGGGCTATAAAGTATAAGTATAAAGAGTTATTAGATGTTCATCCCGCTCACCTCAGTAATAAACCCCATCTTCTCTATGTACCTATCAACAAATGAATTTTCTGTGCATGATTCCTTCTGATACGATATGTCATACATGTACTGGTAGTCCTGTGAAAAATGTTTCAGCATTTGATATACTCAGATGCAAGGATCAGCTTTTTATGTAAAAATGGGGAAAATACCTTCTGCCTTCCATCCTTGAATATCTGGGTTAGTGTTGGTCTTCAGTAACCCATGCTGACTTGGTTGACAACTGTCATTGTATCCCAATTGTGTAGGTCAATGCTTATGATGCTTATCATGATGTTGATCACTGGATTGTCTGGTCCAGACTTGACAGGGCTCGATTTAGTGCTTTGTTACTTGCACTGGTGCAACTCAGTATCACAAAGTGCAACCTAGTTATTAGTGAAAAGTGCACCATGTGCAAGTCAATTTTTGGAGAAATAAATCAATAAAAGATCTAAGTATGTCAGTTTATTTTTCTTCTAAACTTTGAATAGCTATGGCAGCGAAACATTGCCATTTATAGACACTTCTTGGCTATGACAGCTCTTGTAAACAGGCATCAGCTGCGTAATTGTGTTGCTATGATTTCATGGGTACTACATCACGGAAATATGTTTATGTGCACCAAAACCTCTGACGGTTTAGCGCACTACATTGCAACTGGAATTTGGCTTGTGCAACTAGGTTTTTATCTTAATTTGCACCTGGTGCAAGTAGGTTAACATCCCTTAAATCAAGCCCTGCTTGATTATTTGTAAACAGTCCACATTATGGCTGGTATATTGCTAGGTGCTGCATTAAGTAACAAGCAAAAACCAAAAACACCTGCCTCCCTATTTTGAGTATGTATGAAAATCTAGTAATTATTGTGTGATCATTAATTTTGATCATGGAGATATTTGTTGTATATCTGTATGGATGGATGTGAAATGTTTGAAATGACATGGTCTTAAGCTGTGTTATTTTCAAGCTAACTAGCAGACCAATCAGTTTTTGGATGACGTGAACTCTTTCCATAATACAGTGTTCATGCTTTGCGGCTCTTTTGGCAATTGTTATCTCTGTGTCTTATGTACCTGTTGTAGGCTGCATCTGCTTCGACCCCAGGTGTTCCAGCAACTACAGGAACTCCATCAGCAGGTAGGTTGGGATGAGTGAGTGACTTCAGTTTTATGCCGCTTTTGGCGTAGTGGTTAAAGCATTTGCTTGACATGCTGAAGACCCGGTTTCGATTCCCCATTTCTGGTACCCCTTGCTGGAATATTACTAAAAGTGGCATAAAACTAAACTCACCCATTCACTCACTTTCATGTGTGCTCATTCTGTTGATCACTGGATTGTCTGGTCCAGACTCAATTTAATTACAGACAGCCACCATATAGCTGGAATATTGCTGAGTGCGGCGTAAAACTTAACTCACTCACTCACTCACTCACTCATGTAAATTTCCTCACTAACTTGTCCAAAATATCACATCTGTACTACAATCTTTAATATTCTGAATTATTCTAGAAATCTAAACATGTCTATAACCTAAAGTTATAGTGCGCAGTTTCTACACAAAGATTTTCCAGTTTCAAAGTCCACATTTCTTGAAAAATAGATCACTTGTGTTTTGGCTCCAAATTAATGGATATTGTTGCATGTTTCAGCTGCAGTGAGACAGAGTGTTATTGATGAAGTGGTGACAGAGTATGAGCTGTACAAGGCCAAGCTGGATGACATGACCAAGTCACTTGCTGCGTTTACAGCTAACACACAGGTAAGGCCTAACAAGATGATGTGAATGGTCCAGAATCAAATACTAAGTATACCAAGCATTAATTGTGTTTTGTTTTTTTTAAACAAAATGGATTCTTGGTTGTATGTCATTAGAAAGTTGACTCTAACAAGTCCAAATTTTCTGTCATCCCCAGATGAAGAAGTATCGGTTTGAGCTGCAGAAATCTGTGAACACCCCTATCAATTCCATAGCCCCAGTGGACGGCTCCAACCTGAGGGACAAACTGCAGAAACTCATCCACCTACTTGGGGGACACCAGATTGAGGGGAAACATGTGTCTGCTAAAGATGCACCAGAGGGAATCCCCTTCTGCAAAAACCTCATAGCAAGAATGTTTGTGGTAAGAACTTGCTTGCAAGAGATAAGATTACATTTCTTGCAGGTATACTTCTAACACCATTGCCTTGACTTTATCTATCAAACTGAAGTTAGAGTCACGATAAATTCATTTGTTACTCTAACATGTGCTTGAAATATATTTGTCAGTTTGCTAAGAGCCATATCTATGAAGATCTGGGCTAGAATTGGTCTTCAGCAACTCATGCTTGTCGTAAGAGGCGACGATTGGGATCGGGTGGTCAGCCTCGCTGAGTTGGTTGATGAATGTCATCATGTCCCGGTTGTGTAGATAGATGCTGATATCTGGAATATCTGGTCCAGGCTCATCTACTTACAGACTGCTTACAAATAACTGGAAAATTGCTGAGTGTAGTGTTAAACAAAAACAAAAAGGAAAGACGCCAAGAGCCAAGTTCACATTAGTATGCTCAAAAGTTCTGGCACAGACTGAAACATTAATTCTTTTTCATAGAGATCGTCCTTGGGGTACATATTATGCATTTTCAGGGCTGAAAATGTCCTGTGACAGTTGTATCAATGTTTTTGAATAAAAAATATTGTACAATAAATAAAAATCTTTTTATTTATTATACGGCCCCCACCTCGTGGAGTTACCTCCCGTTGAGCATGTGCACCAACTGGGTAAGCACCTAGGCCCATATCATAATTCCTTCTGCTGTCACTGCCGTATACGGATGTGCCGTGCAGAGCTGAACTCTTTTGAAGTTAAGAGACTGATGTCTGGGACACCACCACCTGTATGTATGGTCTTTATATTGTCCTTGAAAGGAACAGTAAAGCTTTGCGGTCGGTTGTCTCATAATTGTGACTTTGTATTCCTTATTTTACGCTAACTTTCCCGTGGTTTACGCACATGTTGCTATTCCATGGCGGGAAGTTTTGCGTGCCACGTGGTTGTAATATTGCGTTTTATCCAACTATTTCTTCCCGTGGTCGCCTTCACGTATTTTTCAATGTTTTCTACGTGTATATTATGCTGCTGGTCCGCTACCCCTGACACGTGCGAGATATGTATGGGCTTGTCCCCCGGAGCCCAGAAGAGGCGGGCTGCAGACATTCTTTGCTATCGGGAAATGCGAGAGGCGAGAGGGGAACTGACCCAGGTCCCCCCGTCTAAAGCCAAAAAGACAAAAAGTGAAAACAGAAAGGCTAGATCGCGCAGTCAGTCGCCTACAACTGCTCCTAGCGGTTTCGACATGTCTCTAATCACGCAATTATTCCAGCAGCACATGGACTCGGTGAAGTCCTTTGTTCACGAGTCGGTTGGAGGTCTCCGCCAGGAGTTCCTCGCCCACTCGGAGCAGGGGACGGAGAGTCTGGGGATGGGATCGCCGAGCCCGGCTCGATCCCTCGGCCTGGAGGCGTCTGTTGATCCGTTGCCTCTGGCTTCGGGTCCGGACGCCTCGGCTGCCCCGGAGGGCCCGGCTCGATCCCTCGGCCTGGAGGCGTCTGTTGATCCGTTGCCTCTGGCTCCGGGTCCGGACGCCTCGGCTGCCCCGGAGGGGGAGGCTTCGCTCCCAGTCCCCCTCTCGGAGTTGGCGCAGGGTCCGTTGAGGATTCCTGAGGTTCCGGTCCCTGCGCCGTCCCGCCCCATGAGAGCGGAGGAACCAGTTTTGCCTGGTCTTCCTCCTGCGCCTCGGGACCGGAGTTCGGGCGTGGTGTTGGGCACTGAAGCAGCGCGCTGCTTCGGTTCTTCCCTTCCCTCTGCGTCTGGTGCTCGGCCGCCCACCGAGTCGGGGTTCGGGTCCTCTTCGGGAGGAGACCCAGCCTCGGACTCAGGCTCGGGCGCCGAGTCCATGGACATTGGGGAGGTCGAGGAGCCGGAGGGTGCCTTCCGTTTCTCGACCGCTCTGAGGGAAGTCCGGCTACGCATTGCCGAGTACATTCCCCAGGCCGCAGTGCCTACCAGCCGTTCGGATTCGACTGAGTTCCGCTTACCAGGCGAGGCGTTTGCCCCTAGGCAACCCACGCAGATGCTGCTCCGCATTCTGCCGTCCTTGGTGCGGGACGTGGTGGATCCCCTCTTGGGTGGGTCACGCCTCCGCTTTGACTTGCCAGAGCTTGTCAGGAGGTACCAGCTGGGGGAAGATTCCCTGTTGTTCTTCGTGCCAGTGGTCGACGAATGTGTGTTCACTTCGGTCGCCCTGGGGGGAGGCTCGGCTTCCTCCGGAGCAGCTCCGGCTGCCAGGCAAGGGCGTTTGACGCCACCTTTTGCCCTCGCGGGCTCCCCCCTGCAGCATGCTTACCGGACCTACGAGGAGGTTTACCGGAACGCTATGCAGCAGGGGCGGGTGGTGGTCCACGAGGCCTACCTCTCCTCGATTCAGAGGTCGGCCCTGGAGGCGGAGGGGCACGCTGGAGACGTTTCTCAGCATGTTCTCCTCCGTCAACTTTCTGAAGTGCAGGCCCACCTCGCGCGACTCCTTGCGGTCGGCCGCGTCGACGGTGATGTGCGCAGTCATGGGGATGCGCAAGCTGTGGCTGTCGACGTCTCGGTACTCGGCGGCTACACAGCAGACCTTGCTGGCCCTCCCCTACCATCTGGGAGCGACGTTGTTTCCTGGGGCCCTGCAGGTCATCCGGGAGGCTGCTGCTGCAGCTACCTCCTTCAAGGACTCCAAGGCCTTGTTGGAGCAGCCGCGGGCTTCTCGCCCCTGCGCTCCCGTTCCGGCTTCCTCCTCCGGGGTGCTGCCTACTCCCGAGTCTGCTGGCTGGCTTCGGCCGCTCGGCAGGGGTAGGCGGAGGAGCCGTCCCGCCAAGGGTAAGGGCAAGGAGCAGTCCTCTTCGACTCCCAGTCAGCTCCGCTACTCGGGACCACTCACGCACTCTTACCCAACATCCCAGTGGGAGGCCGCCTCTCCCTATTCCTGCCGGAGTGGGAGAAGGCTACGAGCAACACTTGGGTGCTGTCCACCGTCAGTGTCGGCCATCTACCACTGTGGAAGCGAGGTCCGCCAGACTTCACCGGCATACGCCGCATTCCGGTGCCGTCATGTCAGGTACGGGCGGACATACTGCACGACGAAGTCCAGGCTTTGCTGGACAAGTCCGCTATCGAGCGCATACCACTGGGCGAGGAACAGGCGGGATTTTACTCCACGTACTTCCTCGTTCAGAAGGAAGACGGCGGGTTCCGTCCCATTCTCAACCTCAAGGGGTTGAATCGCATGCTCGAAGTTCGATCCTTCAAGATGGAGACACTGCGCTCGGTGATCTCCTCTGTTCAGCCCGGCGATTGGCTCACGTCAATCGGCCTCAAGGATGCGTATCTGCATGTGCCCATACATCCATCGTTCAAGCAGTACCTTCGGTTCTCTTACGACTGGGTGTATTACCAATTCACGGTGCTCCCCTTCGGCATATCCACTGCCCCAAGGGTGTTCACCTAGCTCATGTTAGTGCCGGCTACCCTCGCTCGTTGTAAGGAAGGCGTTGTTACCCTTACCTCGACGACTGGTTGTTTGGTGCACTGACACAGCCAGCGAGCCTAGATTCTACTCACAAGGTGATAGACATTCTAGTTCGACTGGGGTGGATCATCAACCTCAAGAAATCCGACATGGTACCCACCCAGGGCTTGGTTTTTCTCGGGGCGAGGTTCCAAACTCACAAGGATCTTGTTTCCTTGTCGCCCGACCGGGTCACCAGAGTACGGGAGATGGTGTCTTCATTCCTCTCCCAGCCCCAGGCACCAGCACGGACTTGGCTCTGTCTACTGGGCCATATGGCGGCACTATCTCTGTAGTGTGGCGGGCGCGGTTGAGGATGCGCCCTATACAGCAAGCTTTGGCGAGTCTGTGGGCTCACTCGGAGGACCTGGAACGGAGTCTCACAGTCCCCGGGTGGTTGTCTCCTCACCTTCAGTGGTGGACCAATGTCGGGAATCTCTCCAGGGGGGTCCCCTTGGAAATCCCGACGCCAGCTCTTACAGTTCAGACCGATGCGTCCCTCACGGGCTGGGGGGGTGTTCTGGGCAGTCTGTCGGCGTCCGGACTCTGGTCGAAGCGAAGCCTCCACCTTCACATCAGCGTGTTGGAACTGAGAGCTGTGCGGTTGGTTTTCGAAGCGCTTCGAGAGCATGTCCAGGGCCAGGTGGTTCGCGTCTTCAGTTGGACAACCAGGCGGCCATGTCGTACATCCTGAAGCAAAGGCGGACGCGGTGTCCCGAAGCTCCTCCGGGAGACATGGGACTTTATCCTCTGGTGCGACCAGTGCAATTGTCAGGTACTCCCTGTTTATCTCCCGGGGCTGGAGAACTTGCGAGCAGACGCTCTCTCTCGCCGGATCCTGGCCCCCGCACGAGTGGATGCTCGACCGGCAGATATTCGGAGTTATCTCCCAGTTATGCAGGGTCGTCCAGGTGGATCTGTTTGCGTCCGGCGGGGCCGAATCGGACACCCGTGTTCTGCTCTCGAATACCGGACCGAGGCGTTGGCTGCCGGCGCCTTCCTCCTGGATTGGACGGGCAAAGTGCTCTGGGCGTTCCCGCCGTTACCACTCATTCCCCGTGTCCCCTCACAGCTGTCCACCCAGCCAGCTCGGCTGCTTGTGCTACTGGCACCGCTTTGGCCGTCACAGAGCTGGTTTCCGGTAATTCTCAGGTTTCTGGCTCAGCCTCCTGTTCTATTACCTTTGCGACCGGACATTCTCACTCAGAACGGCGCGCCACACCCCAATCCACAGATTCAGTGGGTGGCTTGGCCTCTGTCAGGTCTAGCCTCGAAGCACGCGGAATTCCTGCAGCAGTTGCAGACACAATTCTGGCTTCGAGGCGGGATTCGACAAACATTCAGTACGAGGATAGGTGGTCCAGCTATGCGCGCTGGTGTTCAGAAAGGGGGATTGCAGATCCCTTTTCTGCGGATTTAGTCCGAGTATTGGAGTTTTTGCAAGCTCGTTTGGAAGAAGGCCTGGCGGCTTCGACCATTCGTAGCTACTCCACCGCTATTTCCACTTTTCACACCCCTGTCGATGGTGCTCTTCTGGGGCAGCACCCTCTCGTAACAGCGCTTTTTAGCTGGCTGACTAAAAGCTGACACTGATCGTGTCAGTATTCGCCTCTCGGATACTTACCGCCCGCAGGTCGATCACGCTTTCCATGTGACAGCTCCTATCAAACTTCCTACTCTTACCCAGCCTTCCACATCAGGGACCTCTCCTACGAGCACTCACCCGTTGGATGTCCGTAAGACTCTCAAGGTCTATATCAAACAAACACAGGGGATCCGTACGGGTACCCAGCTGTTCTGTTGTTACGGTGGCGGGAAGGCTGGTGTGCCGGCGAGCAAGCAGACTTTGTCTCGCTGGCTCGTCTCGGTTATTTGTGCTGCGTATCAGGCTAAGGGCAAGCCTCCCCCTGAGGGGTTGAAGGCTCACTCGGTCAGGGCAGTAGCCACGTCAAAAGCTTTTGCATCGGCACTCCCCATTGAAGAGATCTGCTCTGCCGCTATTTGGAGCCGGCCTAGCACGCGTTTATTCGGCACTATCAGCTCGATACACATTCTCGTAATCGTGCGAGCTTTGGCCGTTCTGTTTTCTCCTGTGGACAGTGTCCTGCCACCCTGACCGAGTGAGTCTTGGTTCATTGGTTTTGTTGACGCTGCTGTTCAATATTGTGTTTTATTGACATGTCCGCTGCTGGGTGTATAACCTCCTTTCGATCCTCTACGGAGACTATGGTCGGTCGTGAGCGTTTTTCCCCCCTACGGTGCTCTCTAATTGACCACAAGGTGGGTGGGGTTTGTTTACATTCGCACCATGTGCGAATTCTTATGCTAACCTGCGAGGTTGTCTATGAGTACATTTCCTCCCTGTCGGTTACCCTCCCATAATGCCTCTCGCGGAAGCGTAAACCGGGACATATGACAGGTGAGTGATTATGGCGTCTGTTACATTATTCAGATTAACGATCGCTATTTGTGTGTGCTTTGACAGAATTCCCTCCTCCCTGGCCTCCGGTCTTTGGGAGTCTGTGTTTATGCATAATATGTACCCCAAGGACGATCTCTATGAAAAAGAATTAACCAAACCTGAAGAGGTTTTCAATTCTTTGAAGAGTAGTCATCCTTGGGGTAGGGCCTCCCGCCTCCCCGCAATTCTGTTCACTGATTATTCAGCAGAAGGAATGATGATACGGGCCTAGGTGCTTACCCAGTTGGTGCGCATGCGCAACGGGAGGTAACGCCACAAGGTGGGGGACGTATAATAAATAAAAAGATTTTTATTTATTGTACAATATTTTTTATTCAAAAACATTGATACAACTGTCACAGGACATTTTCAGCCCTGAAAATAATATGTACCGCAAGGACGACTCTCTTCAAAGAATTGAAAACCTCTTCAGGTTTGGTTAAGTTATTTAAGTGTGGTGTTAATAGCAAAACATTTCATGCATGTATTGCAGAAGTAGACAGCAAAGGTGAAACGTATAGTTAGGGGGCAATTGGAGACTAACATATGCTCATGTTATCTGAACAGCTATATCCTGAAAATGATTGTACATGTTGCCTTCACCTGTGATGATCCCGGTTGACACATTTCCATATCCCAATTAGACCGCCTCAGTGGTGTAGTGGTTAGAGCGTCCGCCCGGAGAGCGGAAGGTCGTGGGTTTGATCCCCGACCGCGTCATACCCAAAGACGTTAAAATATGGTACTTGTTGGTCCCTGCCTGGCGCTTGGCATTAATGGGTACAACAAGGACTGGTCGTCTCAGAGTCAGTATAATGTGTCTGAGTGGGGTATTCAAGCTTCACTGCGGCATGGTATCTCAGTGGGCTAGCACTATAAAACCATCTTCAGTCTAGGCTAGTACAAGCAGCTACACATACACACGCATGCACGTCGTCATATAAGCAAAATATTCTCAAGTACGACGGTAAACCCAATTTCACCTCACCTCCATATCCCAATTGCATAGATTGATGCTCATGCTGATGATCACTGGATTGTCTGTTCCAGACTTGTTTATTTTTTAATTTACAGACTGCCGCCATATAGCTAGAATATTGCTGTGTGCTGCGTAAAACAAAAAAACAGACCAAACGAAAACATGTTGCCTTCACATGTGCACCTCCAGATTTTCCCCTCCTCTTCAGTTTGGAATTGACCATGTCAATGAATGAGTGAGTGAGTTGGATTTTATGCCGCTGTTAGCAATATTCCAGCAATATCATGACAGGGGACACCAAAATGGGCTTCACACATTGTACCCATGAGGGGAATCGAACCCGGGTCTTCGGCGTGACGAGCAACCGCTTTAACCACTAGGCTACCCCACTGCCCGCCGATGTCAAAATAACAATAGGCACTGGGCTTACCAGTTGTCTCTTAGGCAGCCAGAAACTCCTGAACACAGGTTTGAATCCAAGTTTTCCACTGAATTCTTGGTTTGTCAATGTATCATGTGTCATGTATCTTGTAACATTCTCTTGCAGAGAAAGGGAGAGGAGCAGGTCTCGTCTAAACATGAATCTGCATTTGCCATCGCCATGGTAGCAGCAGGACTGTGGCTAGAACACAGTGATATAGGGGACCTGATGATGGCACACTTCCACAGCTTCTGTCCCTACATTGTGCCGCTCTACATACCCAAAGACAGCAGTATGTCATCACAGGACTACCACAGGTCAGACAATATTTCACATCACCCTTGTTTTTCATTAAACCTTTCCTTATAACTTTGATATGAGCAAAATGAAAACTGGATGGGAGAATGTAACAGGCAAGGCCATTTAGCTCACTTCACATTTATTCAAAATAGGGGAAGTGGGTAAGCCTGGTGGTTAAAGCGTTCACTCATCATGCCAAAGGTCCAGGTTCAATCCCAGAATGTATGAAGCCCTTTTCTGGAGGCCTCTTTTGTGTTCCTTGCTCTGAAACTGCTAGAAGTGGCATAAAAACCATGCTTGCTGACGACAATAAAAAGCATGTAGCTGTCGGCGTCCAAAAAAATCTTCTTGTTGATGAACATTTCTTGAGCATTACGTAAATGTAGATTTGGGGTAGATTTGCATAAGTTTGTCAGTAATATTATTAACTTCTTTTCGATTTTCAGAATGCTAGGATTGAACATTTCTTTGAGCATTCCAAGGAAAAATTAATCCACAGTAGGATCTTACTTAAATGTAGATTTGGGGTGGGGATTGAGTCTGAAACAAGTACAAATTTACAGGATTTGGTTCTCTTAGTTTAGAATTTCTTAAAGGATATATCTTGGTTTCTGAAGTGGATTGCGTAAGTTTGTCAGTAATATTATTAACTTCTTTTCGATTTTCAGAATGCTAGGTTACAAAGTTGATTCTGACGGAACGATAGAAGCTCAGGACAAGTTTCTGAAGAGGATGTCCGGCATAATGCGACTGTATACCGCGATTCTTGTCTCATCTCCACCAAGATCAAACGCAGTTCACCCACACGGGATAGAGCACGCCTGGATCTGGTTGGCACGAATTCTCAATATGGATCCTCAGCCTGACATTACAGCGACCTTGACCTATGATATGCTCCAGGTGACAGGTCACACGCTGTTCAGTGTGTACAAGGTTCAGTTCGTGAAGCTGCTGTTCCTCCTCTACAAAGAGTTCTTGCCCAAGCTGAAAAGTGTGTCTGTGGCTGGGGGACCGGTAGCAAGACTTGAGCAGTTCCTCGAAAAAACATTGAACAAGTTTAAGATGAAGCAGATTATGCCACATCCGGATGGGTATCTCGCACAAAACTTCTGGTTTAGTTGATGATGGAATATGGGTGCTAACATGACAGTCGCTGTATTTTCCTTTCAAGTTACAGGAAGCAAGCTGGTTGTAGAGGTGCAAGATTGATACTTGATTGTGGAAACTGATGCTGAATTCTGGAAATTCAGACTGGTATACTGGAAATATTTTAATGAAATTTTGTAAATTAACTCTTATAATGCCACATTCAGATGGATGTATCATACAAAACTTCTGGTTTTATGATGATATTAGGGCTACTTGTAAGTCAAGTAGTGTTTTTTTAAACGGTTCAAGAAAGAAATATCACAAGTTGACATTGATACATGTGGAGTACTGACAAAATGAAAAATGATTGCCTAATTGTCCTACATATTTTCAATTTGAGCAGACGTGGTACCCATTCATAACTTTGAAACTGATAGACACCATCCCTGTTAGCCCATTGTGTAACAAAGGCTTATGACATTATATGTGAATAGATCTTAAAAGTTCCATAAGCCAAACCTTTCTTGTACAGGATTACTAAATGTTGTCAGTTGTCCATGACATGTGTATGGTTGTACAGTGAACATCAGAATGAGATGCAAATGTTCCAGCAAAATGAATTATGATGAACTTGATGATGAAGATTTTTCACAACACTTTTTACGAGGTACTGTAAATAGATTTTGTTCGTAATGTGAATATGAAGGCAGTTTTTGCAGTATCATGATGTAAATATGTGTTTATATGTAAATATAAATTCATTTTTAAAACTTCTTGTCTCTTTTGCAGTCTGTACAATAATAAGGCCACTTTTGTATATAGCAGTGAAGTCCGAGCCGCATGGGCATGCTCAAGCTGCCTGTGAGGTACTAGATGGTTAATAGTCATATGACCAATTCCACCGGGTACCCATTCACTGCTGGGTGAGCAAACTCACTTGCCTAAGGTGACACCTCATGTGTCATATGTGCTTCACTGTGATCAGGACAGAAGTCCTAGAAACTATCAGGACTCGAGCTGCCAAACATGGTCTCCCATCCAATGTTATGGATCTGAAAGACTGTTGCATCATAAGATCATTGTAGGACATGAATTGGATCCTGCAAATCCTGGAGCCCAGATGTATCCCAGAACGTAAGAAGGGAAGGATGAAACGCATTGATGATGTTATGATTATTGATGTATGTTCGGGTAGCCTATTGGTTGATGCATATGCTTGTCACGTCAAAGGGGGTGGTGGGGTAGCCTAGTGGTTAAAGCGTTGACTCGTCACGCCGAAGACCCGGGTTCGAATCCTCACATGGGTACAATGTGTGAAGCCCATTTTTGGTGTCCCCTGCCGTGATGTTGCTGGAATATTGCTAAAAGCGGCGTAAAACCAAACTCAGTCAGTCAGTTGTCACGTCAAAGACCTGGGTTCGATTCCCCACATGGCACAATGTGTGAAGCCCATTTCTGGTGTCCCCCGCCGTGATATTGCTGGAATACTGCTAAAAGCAGCGTAAAACCATACTCACTCACTATTGATTTTATCAAGGCATCAACTTTGGCAGTTTAACAATAGACTGCTCACTTGCTACACTGATCGTTTAAACTATCACAATACTTTTGAACAGTAAGATTGCTCCTGAAAGTTTTACCAGTTGCTCAGTCATCCGAAACGAACAAGCAGTTATTTGAAAAATATTTTTTCCAACCTAAATATGATCTGTACTCTTTTTTAAAGTGAGATTTTTGTGACTGAATCAACTCATGTATACCAATCAGAACCCCATTCTTTGGACCGCCATTAATGTGAGAAATTATAGTTCCTTCTGGATTATGGTTGCCTTATTCCTGTGGTTACCAGACACATGCAGAAAATTACAAATGAAAATTCTTTCTAAGCCATAGTTGCCTTTGGTGGTATGCCCTCACATACTGCAGAATTATCTCCCCTTAACTCATGACGTCATAGTGTTCTATTTGAACCTCACAAACTGACAGTATGTGCTTCACACAGGATGTGTTCAGGAATTTGGAAAGTGATTTTCTTCTGTGACTGCTGTGCAACACCTTTCGTGTGATTCTCAAGATCAAGTGGTCACTTTGGTCAGTAAAACAATTAGCTGCTCAACAATCGCATTTATATATTTTTTGTGACTTTTTGATTGTGACTCATGTCTTCCAAACATAACCCCCACTCTTTGACCCGCCATCAGTGTGAGAAATCAACTGCCTCCCATGAAGTATACTAGGGAGAAACCATTTGATTGTCACGGATTGTTCAGGATTATATTTAAAAAAAGAAAAAAATCAAATCCCTGCATAATTTAAATTAATATATAATTAAACACATGTATATTTGGGAAAACTAATTAATCTTAAATAAATGCTAATCTCAAAATCAACAGTTGCTCCCTTTTTAATGAAACCAGACAAAGGGAAAAGATGGTTCAAAGTAGATCCTTAGTTCCTCCATAATTCAAATATATTTTGAAGACACTCATGAAGGCTTTCTCAATATCACGGACTCAAACATCCAACTGAAGTACTTTTTAAGTATCCCAACACAAATGCAATACTTTTCCTGTAGAAGAAAGTTTTCTTTCAATTTCAAGTAATACCCTGTAAAATATGCTTGGGGTTTATTAGCATAAAAAAAGCATCACATCTAAAAAGTATCAGGTGAAGTGAAATGGGGTTCAACATCGTACTTAAGAATATTTCACTCACATGACGACGTGTATGAGTGTGTATGTGTTGCTGCTTGTACTAGCCCAGACTGAAGCTGGTTTTATAGTGCTAGCCCACTGAGATACCATGCCGCAGTGAAGCATGAATACCCCACTCAGACACAGTATATTGACTCCGAGTTGACCAGTCCTTGTTGTACCCATTAATGCTGAGCGCCAGGCAGGGACCAACAAGTACCATATTTTGATGTCTTTTGGTATGACGCGGACGGGGACTGAACCCGCGACCTTCCTCCGGGTGGACGCTCTAACTACTACACCACGAAGGCGGTCCTCAAAATTATGAAAAATTTTCAAATGTGAACAAAACTAACTTTACAGACTTCAGTATGTAGTTTTGTTTATCCTTTAACTTTTACTTCTCTATAAAAGACAAAACATTATAACGTGATACTTCAGTGTATTTGGGTGAAATACAGCACATACATATATAAAATTTCATTTTTTCAAGACATCACTGTTTGCCTTTTCCTGACCTGGACATACACATTATTTTGCAACAATTAGCAGTAAAAATATTAACATTCACCACTAGATTCTATAACCATTAAAAAAAGACATTACATTTGCAACAATTAACCGTTATAAACATTTATCATAGCAAAAATAATTTTCAAAAATATTAATTTTAATCACAACAATAGGCAAAAATATACTTACATTTGTAACAATAGCACTTAACAAACTGAAGGTATGGAAACTGAAGCTGTGATGGAATGGGAAATAACTTTCTTGGGGGATTATTTGTTAAATGCAGAACCAAACAGAAACCATCACAGGTATCCAAATAACTAGAATGACATAATCTAGCACATTGCGATGGTTCCTTCAGTCACTGGGACACGCATACATGAATAACTGGTAAGAAATGAGATATAAATGTCAAGATGATATATTGCCACAAGTACACATTGTGAAAGTTAAAACACATTAAAAAGTTATGCTAGGATTGGTGAGAGTCGAATAAACGTATAAAGTTACCGGACAACACTTTACCATGGAACATAACAGCTATCACATTTAATGTTCATTATCCAAATGATTCAATCTGACTAGAATATATGCACATATATACTTGTAATGACATATACGAGTGAGAGGAGACACGCTTCTGTCTGCATTTTTCTTTCTCAATATGTTACTTTGATGAAAATGAGATAGATGTACTGAATATGGAATGAAGATCAGTATCGGACAGATCAGCATTCAATAGTGGGATAATTGTTGGGATTTTGTGTGGCACAGTTGTCTGTAGGCTGTGAGAGTTGTCTCCCTTATAAGCCTGCAAGGAACGTGGGTTCAATCCTGGATTTGCCCTGCTTGTATTACTTGTTTGCTCAGCACAATACCATGTTTGGAAGTTTCATCAAAGAGTAAGTATGTCAATGAGTTGCTTTTAATCATTTTCAAGTTATATCAGGCCAAAAGAAAAATATATGTCCGTTTCCTATAACATAGGGCAGGTGGGTCGATTTTATCTTTTTTTTAACTCTTTTTTTTTATTTTTTAGTAGCACCAGGTGGGCACCTGAGAAAGTCTTTAAGGATACCATATCACATTGTTACAATGCCTTGTGATGAAACATTGAAAGATTTCTGTATCAAATCATTATTCATGTTATTTATTTGCAGGTTTTGTCAGTGAGAGCCCATTATGCCAATTCAATGCAATCCATTTTAGCCCTACGTACACTGAAAAACATGAAAATATACTCAATTTGGATGAAAATTGATGAGTTGAAATGCACTCCAGTCATGAGTTTAAAAAGATTTAGGGTCAGTCGGGTAACCGGAAACAGACATATTTCTTGGGTCGGCTTCACTGCTTCATAAGGGAGGAAAGTGATGCAAGCCTCTCACATTAAACTCTTTGGTGAAACCTATTGGCATGGTGCTGACATCAGCATTCGAAATAGCTGCTGGCCCGCTGGCCAAATGCTAGCTGATTGTTAATCGGGCCAGTAATATATTGTTAAAGTTATCCCGGCTGGCTAGCTGAAAATCGCAGATAATTTGTTCTTTATGTAATGCACATGAATATAATTATCAGGGTGTTAAAATTCCGTCCGCAAAAGGTTTGTGATATTTATCATCTCATTGTCACACGAAGATCGGTATATAAAAAAATGTTAATAGCATTGCACAAAAGAGGTTAGGAACCATTACAATACAAATGTAACGTTTAACTTGATTGTGTTTGTTTGATATATATTGTTTTGAAGGGGCGGCAATAGCTTACCATCTTCGATTACTAAACATCACACCAATTCTGACCGATGTGCATTTTGATGTTGATATTTTGCAGGGCCAGTGAAGTATGATGGGTGCAAGCAACATTTTACTTAACTAGACCTCCTCCTTATGACGGACTTTTGTGACTTTTCAAAGTTAATTCATACACTGCCTAGAAACATCATCGTGACAAAACAGAACTTAAACAGGTCATAGGCTCCTGGTTTGCCAAAGGGAAGCAAATATGTACAGCAAATTGCAATGCAGTAGAAAACTGGGCCATCCATGGCCCTCCTAAACCGGTCATAGCTCCTGGTTTGTCAAAGGGAAGCAAATCTGCCCAAATTGTGATGTCATAGACAATTCAACTAAGAGATGAAGCCTGCATCACTTCAGACATTAATTCCACATACCATAATTTCAGACCTTGCTATTTTAAAACGTTGACAGTCCATTAGGGTTTCATTGCCAGCATTCACTAAAAGGCACCAGCTTTATCTGTTCCTGTGAGTAGAACGCCTGTAGAGATTTGTCACTAAGTACGTTTATTTCGTGTTCCCTTTCCTCTGATTGCGAGAAGTCATCGGGACCTGTGCCACACCCTCCCACCTCCCCGTTCATATACCCTGGGTGAACCATCAACTCACAAACGGAGTTATCTCCTCCTGAGTCAACAGACTCATATGCCTTAATTAGCCCGGTCTTGAGTCTGTCGACTGTCATGTCGTACCCCATGGTGCACAGTCCAAAGAAACAGTCGCTGACTCTGAAACAGGAAAGAAAACAAGTCTGTGACCTTTACTTCAGGGATGGAAACCATGACCAGTGTATTGTCATTATATTTATATCAACAGAACACATGAACTCAGCAACCAGTACATGTTCCTCATCTGCTTCAAATGAATATGGCTGCTGTGACGACCATATTGTTTATCAATCATACACATTTACGAGTTTAGGGCTAGTTATTTTCACTTGGAGCAAAAGTCATCAGTGCCAATTTCATTCGAGCTCAAGATATATTTCTTAAGCTAACAAGATGATTGAGTGAGTGAGTGAGTGAGTGAGTGAGTGAGTGAGTGAGTCAGTGAGTGAATGAGTGAGTGAGTGAGTGAGTGAGTGAGTGAGTGAGTGAGTGAGTGAGTGAGTGAGTGAGTGAGTGAGTGAGTGAGTGAGTGAGTGAGTGAGTGAGTGAGTGAGTGAGAGAGAGTAGTACAAACATATTCAGAATGTTAATTTAACAGTCAAATGTAACTTTTACATAAATTACTAAACAGAGGCACGCCATTCTGTAAAACAAATGATACATAAATGTAATTGGTCTGGTCGAGTGACAAAAGTCACATCTCTGAGGCAACATGCTATCTCACCTGATTCCATTCTGCCGGAACACTGGCAGACTCTGACGAGATAACTCTATGATCAGCTTGAAGGAATCAAAGTATTTGCTTGGGATCCAGTCACCAGACAGGATAACAGGGTCAATTGGCAGCCTCGTGCTCCTGATGCCGCGGGAACCCAGGGCCTCAGCAAAGGCCTTTCTTGTACCTTCAAAGTATAAGGTAAACTCACACAGTGATCTACACTTCCAGCTGTTATATGACAGCCTGTGTCTTACTCCTTGCAATAATACACAGCGTTCCTTGTGGTGAAGGGGCAGTGGGGTAGCCTAGCAGTTAAAATGTTCGCTCGACATGGGTACATTGTGTGAAGTCATTTCTGGTGTCCCCCATCCTAGATATTGCTGGAAAACTGCTAAAAGCAGAGTTAAACTAAACTCATTCTCACTTGTGGTGATGACATGTCACATCTCACAGAATCCATTCAACAAATTACATTTTTATGTATCTTTTTTAAACATCTACACGTCTAGGTAAAAATTTGCTGTAATATAAGGTATAAGAAATATTACACATAAGAAATGTTTATTCATTAGTGAGAAAGTAAAAACACTCCTTTTTTACAAAATTAATGAATATTTAATTCTAGTGATTGCAAATTAACACTGTGAATTAATGAAGGAATATGGTTCAATTCACTGATAAAGCAAGTGAATTGTAACAATACACACTCATAGGACATCAATAAAACAGTTCAAAATCTCAACCAAATGTAACTTACTCCTTAACATTAATAGGGGGGTGGGGTAGCCTAGTGGTTAAAGCGTTTGCTCGTCCTGCCAAAACCCCTGATTCGATTGACCACATAGGTATAATATGTGCAGCCCATTTCTAGCGTCCCCTGTAGTGATATTGCTTGCATATTGCTAAAAGCGTCATAAAACTAAACTCACTCACTCTTCAACAAAAAATGAGATTTCTCAGGGCTCGATTGAGTGCTTTGTTACTTGCACTGGTGCAACCCAATATTACAAAGTACAAGCTAGTTATTAGTGCAAGTCAATTTTTGTTTGGGTAAGCTTCTAAATAAAACATCTAAATTATTCAATAGCATATTTCTTTCATTACATATTGCCATTAAAGCAGTGCAGCTGGAATTTGGCTGGTGCAACTAGGTATTTATCTTAGGTTGCACCTGGTGCAATAGGTTATCATCTCTTAAATCGAGCCCTGTTTCTGTAAACCTACTAGGAAATATATGGGAATGCTGATGTCCATCAACATGAATCGGGGGATGTCCAACAAGTTCCTCAAACTTCGTCAGCTGTGCCTCCAACTCTACTTTCACCTTAAAGAAGATACTCAAGCATTATTGTTACATCAACATTCAACCATATCAACAGCATATCTTTTATTCCAGTGTGTCCTGTCAAGGTTATCATTTAAAGCTTGTTAAACACAAAGAATAGACATACTGTTTGACTATTGCACATGATATCTTTATTTTTTAGACATTCATTGACAGATTTATTCATACATTCTCTTGTTCAACATGGAACATTTTCCAGAAAAAGTGTTCTCATGTTTAGTTCCTCGGCTTAGTATTAGAAATAAATCATGTTTAGTTGATTATTTTGGTTAATAAAACTCTTTCACAAATATCTTCAGAACAATGATGAAGATCCTTACATCTTTAATGTCCAAATTTCCATCATTTGCAGCTTTCCAAAAACTTTGTTTCTCGAGAAATATTCCCTCTTTATCCACAAGGCTGCTTGACTTTGTTGCTTCAGAAACTGGAACTCCCTCAGAAATATTGAAATGTAGTCCTAATAAATAATTCAGAGGTGTATTATATTAAGTGTATTATTGTTATATCATCCAACTAATGTGTTACAGTCACAAAAGTATGTCGAAAAAGCGTGACATTGTACATTTAAGCATAAATTCAATGAGGTGAGCGGCCAAAGGATACAACAAGGACTGTGAATCCTGATATGATAAAAGACATAACTGTGTACAATGACTCTCCTGGCTACATACTGAAATAGGATTGGTAGGTTGGTTTGTAGTTAGGATTAAACACTTTACCCATATGGGGAATTGCACGTGTGTGTTTAACGGCCAATCACCACTCAATATGTGATAACTCTGTGGTTACTGACTAAAGGAGGGAAGATCAAAGGGATGCACTTCTTGGATGTAAAAAGAGTGTATGGTGCAGACAAACCAATGAACAACGTTAACATTAATCTGGGATTCGAACCCACGACCACAAGTATCAGCCATGCCAAACATACACAATTCTGCTAATTAAGAAACTGGCCAAAGTTATGTACCCATTGGTACGGAGTATTTCTTGCACATCATGACCCCGTGTTCTGCAGCAACTCCATTCACCATCAGGGAGGTGTGTGTGATAGCACCCTTTCGGAAACAGTGCACAAGTCCTTCATTTCTCTCTTTGCTGTACCCTAAGTCGTCACCAGTTATTACTAGAAGTTTCATATTGCATGCACTCGCTTCAATATACTGCTTGGGTGGTATTTTGTTCTCAAAAGATAATCAAAGAAACACTGGCCTTGACCTGTTAAAGTATAAACAAGATAAAGTTCCAGTCCGATGAGAGCTTTTATCAGTGTTTTTCGGAGTTACTCCCCTTGTTTACTCTCCCTTGAGTAAAAGTAGAAAAGTACTTTCGTAAAAATATGGATTGTAAAACGAATCTCATCTTTTGAAAGAACCCAATTTCATTCAATGCCCAGAGATAGTATCAAGCAACAACCCATCACTAACATTTTTGTGTCATATATGACATGCAATGTTATCTTACAATGCAATTTTATAATGTAAAAACCTTCATGTTTCATTTTATGTATTGGTTCTATTGTGGATACCGGTTTTAAATAAACCCACGCACATTGTAGTTTTCAAAATGGCTGGAGAAGTTGTTGTAGATGCTTTGCCGTATTTTGATCATGGCTATGACGAGCCCGGTGTACGAGAAGCAGCGATTGCTTTGGTAGAAGAAGAGACACGGCGATACAGACCAACTAAAAACTATCTTGACTATCTACCGCCACCAAATTACATCGCATTTGAAACAGAAATGATGAAAAATGAATTCGAACGTTTGCAGGTGTGTATAAGTTCCTAAATCATTATTTGCAAGCCAATAAAACTAAAAAAGACCAATTCATAATAGCTATTTTGGAATGGAACCTTTGACTTTCAAATGGCTAAATTTGACACCCATTTGACGAACCTCCGGGTAAAACATGGTAAAACATTTGCGGAGTTTAATGACTTTTAAGTTCTATGACGAGATTAGGGGAACGCGAAGTGATCACAGATTACTGGGAGAACACATGTTGTCAATGTCATGTAACTATGTACAAAATTATGTTTTTTATCAGTATCCATGTCAGGGCCAGTATGTTTATGTCTATTTCTTATTAGAATCAGTTGACTTTCTGTTGTCAAACCGACCCGACATCAAATTCACCTGAATATTTTCAACACAGATTGTATCAAATACGCAAAACTCCAGCATATTAAACATGCAGACTTCAAGGGCAAGGGAAAAAACATTTATATCTATGCCTGGGTCTTTGTCATCACCCTAAATATGAATACCATGGAAGACCTGCAATATTTTTAGCTTTCTTCCCTCACACATCAAGCACACACACCGTGATATGACAGAAATGATGGCCAAAGTAGTATTAAAACAACTCATTCCCTGAAACACCCAAGCACCCCCATTTAAACAGTGGTCAGGTATGGAGATGTTGACAATATTATTTATTTTGTTATAGGCTCGTCTTCCAATGGAAATGATGAACATGAAACGGTATGAACTACCGACCCCAGCAGCAGGTAAAATGACTGACATATCTGCATGGACAGAATGTCTGGAGAACTCCCAGGCCCAGCTGGAGCACCAAGCTTTGAGAATCCTCAACCTTGATCTCATGCAGGAGTACGGCTCCAGCGCCTGGAAGATGTACAATGGTGTATTGTCACAAATGTTGGATCAAGCTCAGAAGCAACTCCAGGTGAGCACAGCTTGAATAAGAGGGAAAGTTCAGAAATTGACCTATAATAACTTAAGGATATGTACTGCTTAAAAGAAGTTAAGGCCCATCCAAATATTTTATGTTATTATAGTTAATTTTTCACTGCAGTGCATGATTGAGAGAGTACCAGGTAATTAGGACAGTGTAATATCTAATAGTGATTTAAGATGATTTATAATTATTTACAAAGTTTAGTTTAGGAACATTTTTTTAGCTCAGGCCATAGTGCTGTTGGCTCCCTGAGAAATGCACAAAAAAAATGAAGTCTCCACAGTTGTGGTGTAAGACAGCCTTGCGTGTTATATGTTCAAGTAATGATCACCTTATCAATGATGTTGTCGATGGACTATTACTGACATGAGTATTTTTAGTTACCTGAGTTCGTGCTGTCATTTGTCTGTCACAATGTTCATGATATGAAACAATCGCTCAGCAAGCATATACAAGGAACAGTGGGGGTGAATCAGAAAATTGAAGACAAGAGCCAAACCTTACATTGTTTAATAACATGGTGAAAAAAATAACCATAATCTTTGTTATTTTGAATGAACAAAACCATCATTTTATGACTAGATAGAAATGATGGTATTATAATCGAAATACTGAATTTTGGGATTGTATTATGGTATACCGAACAGAAGGCAAAATACTGCGGTTCTATTAATACCATGGTATACCATTTCAACCCTAAGGAATAGTCTACTCTCAAGTTTGTGGTAACATGGGGGTCCAGTTTATCATTGTTTATAGGATCAATATATTTCATACCTGAAGTGTCAGTTACATGCAGTCTACACCATGATGTCCAATCGTGATTTTTTTTATTCATTGCTTTACTGGGGCAGTAGGGTAGCCAAGTGGTTAAAGTGTTGGCTCGTTGCGCCGAAGACCTGGGTTCGATTCTGCACATGGGTATCCTGTGTGAAGCCTATTTCTGGTGTCCCCCGCAGTGATATTGCTAAAAGCGGCATAAAACCACACTCACTCACACACTCATAGCTTTACTGCATCCCACAGGGCTTGCATTGTTATCCTTGGCGTCTATTTACTGTTTACGTATATACACTTAGCATTCATTTACTGCTTAAGCAGTGTTAAGTGCGTACAGAACACAATATTTGAATCCAGTAAATTTATGAAACATGACAGTGTAGCACAATGTAATTGAATTGTTACACCATAAACAATGGATTAAGATATTTGTCTCCTGCATGTTCCAGGACCTGCGTAAGAAGATCCAGGAGATCAACTGGCAGCGCAAGAACGAGCAGAGTGTGGCCGGCAGCAAACTGGAGCAGCTAGAGTCAAGCTGGGTGGGCCTGGTCAGTAAGAACTACGAGATTGAGCGAGCATGTGCCGAGGTCGAGAAGGAGATCCAGGAGATACAGCAGAGGCAAGGAAAGAGATGATGACCTCGACTTGTGCAGGACATTTATTGAGGTGGCATAAACAAACTTTGTTGAACAAGAATGACAAAACCTTAGGTGGAAACAGCATCAGGTCACTGTGCCGAAATACCTACGATGATGTGAAGAATATATATGGAGGAGATGAGAATTTGTGATTATTTGAAGGATGTTGTATCTCAAAGGGATTGTTCATGGGTTCTTCACTGTCCAGTTAACGATTCCAGGTTGATGTATTCATTTTGCTCATAATTTTATTCATCCATCATTTGTGCTTTTCGTACATGTCATTTCGTCCTCAGTCCAGTTGTACAAAGCAGTGTTCGTGCTACAGTGATCGTAACTTTAGCATAGACAATAGCTGTAATGTTAAGATCTCTTTGTGCAGGTGGACCCTGGAGCATGATTACATTACATCTGAGAGTTCTTTCATAATATCTCCTGGTATACATCTTGTCATGAAAAACAAAAATCCAATAAAATTCCAAATCTGGTGGCCAAAGTTTAGCTGTACATGGGTAGTGAGTGAGTGTGTGTAGTTTTACGTCACTTTTAGCAATATTCCAGCAAAATCGTGGTGGGGGACACCAGAAATGGGCTTCACACATTGTACCCATGTGGGGAATCGAACCCGGGTCTTCAGCGTGACGAATGAACGCTGTAACCATCAGGCTACCCCACCACCCCGTGTATGGGTAGTACTCACAGGTCAACATAAACTGGATATCTGCTTGAAATACCTGCTCATCATTTCTCTGTATTGCATTTACTTACAAGTTTCAGTTTAACAAGGCATGTCATGAATAACAACTTCTTTATTATACATGGGCAGTGGGGTAGGTTAGTGGTTAAAGTGTTAAATTGTCGCATGAAAAAACTCTGCTCGATTCTCCACAATGTGCGCACAATGTGTGAAGGCCCTTTTGGTTGTCCTTGCCATGATATTGCTGGAATATGGCAAAAACAAAACATGCCAAAAGCAGCATAGAGCCTTACTCACTCAATCACTTTTTTATGCTTACGCATTGCTTGAGCAGGAAGTCAAATCCTTGAAATTGTTTATCTGTAATGAAGAAATAAAGAGCTGTCATACCATGGACATGTCATCGGTTCCCAATTGCGCAGATCGATGCTCATGCTGTTGATCACTGGATTGTCTGGTCCAGATTCGATTATTTACAGACCGCCGCCATATAGCTGGAATATTGCTGGGTGTGGCATAAAACTAAACTCACTCACTAATGATACCATGGTTACTTCATATATTTTGGGTGGTTGTATACAATTACACTTTAAGTAAAAAAAACATACAGAATGTGAACATTTGCTATACATACACAATGGCGCCTTGTCCATTATTTGTCATGCCAAAGACCCAGGTTTGATTTAATGGCAAGTACATTGTGTGAAACCCATTCCTGGTTTTGATATTGCTGGTATATTGCTAAAAACAGCATAAAATCACTCTCACTCACTCACAGTTTACGATGTTGATCTGCACATAATCAGATCTGGATGAGACAATCCAGTGATTAATATCAATAACCTCCAGCTGTGTAACTAACCTGTCAATCACCCTGACCATTCACATTTCAATGGGTTTTTTTCACTATGTGCTCAGTGGCCTCACAAGAACAAGGGGTCACAAATTGGTCTCTGTGACTTAACTTATCATTGAACAACTCACTCACTCACTCACTTGGATCAGAGTGATTTGATTTTTAATCAGTTGCTGTAATAATGCTGACAAGGCATAACATCCCATGGGCATTAAGCTGTTTCCATGGTATTTGAAGTTTCAGTATGTGATGAGTTGTGGCAAGTGGAAGTATCATGGACATGATACATTCATCATATTTTTCATTATTTAACACATGGCTATGCAATAAATATAAATGGTTGCATTTGTTCATTATGCGAATGTCACAATAAACATGATAAAACCAAGTTTTCAATGTGTGCATTCATGTTTTCAGCAGATAATATTTAGTGCACCCGTGAAGAGACAGGATAGAATTGGTCTTCAGCAACCAATGCTTGTTGTAAGAGGTGACTAACAGGATCGAGTGGTCAGGCTCGCTGACTTGGTTGACACATGTTCCCTCTTACAACAAACTGGGTTGCTGAAGATAACTGGCAACCTGAGATGCAGGCATTGTACCACTGTAATGCATCGTCTGTTTACGATTTTGCAGCTTCAGCGAAACTGCGGACATGTATCACAAAACAAATGTATGGTCAATCATTCCTATGTGGCATATAGGGCGATGGTGCTGCCTAGAAGAACTCTTTGCATTCTTAACACATGGTGTGACTGATCCAAACAGTAACATTTCACTATTTGGATGATGAAATATATCTTTTACAACTAACCATAACGAGATCGGGTGGTCAGACTCGCTGACTTGGTTGACACATGTCATCGATTCCCAATTGCGCAGATCGATGCTCATGCTGTTGATCACTGGATTATCTGGTCCAGTCTCGATTATTAACAGACCGCCGCCATATAGCTGGGATACTGCTGAATGCGGCGTAAAATTAGACTCACTAACCATAAATCTTGTTGGTTGTATTTCTTGAAAGTATTAAAAATAACCCTTTGAACGACGGATATATCTCACACATTGCAACAAATGAAGATTTTATAGTCGCGACCATTCTGGGTGGACTTAGCACTCATTGATTTTGGGCGGCCGTCTTGCATTTTTCGGAAAATGGGCCCAAAACATCGGGCACATCCCCAAAATATGTTTTATCATGATGTTGCCTAGCACTGTGCAAGGTGTTCTGCTTTAATCCAGCGGGGAAAAGCCACGTAGTGTTAGAAACGGAAATCCTTGATTTTTAGCGGCCATCGTGGACTTTTCGGAAAATGGGCCCAATAAATTGGGCACACCCCCAAAATATGTTTTATCATGATATTCCCCAGCACTTTGCAAAGTTTTATGCTTTAGTCTAGCGTGTCTAAAAATTGGATCTAAGCCACCGCACTAATATAGATTTCAGAACGAATACTTGAGAATAGAAATTTCCACTGGTTGATATCTGGTCAGATAAGAGTATACACAGTGACACATTTCACTTAGTCACTCTTGATCCACATCTGCATAAAAAAAACGTCAACTGATACGCGGTCAGGGCCGATCCAGAATTCATGATAGATGACCCACTGTGTATGTAGACGTGACTCATAATGGAAACCGGAGTGAAATCCTAAACACCCAGTTTCGTATTGTTTGTATCTGGGGTAGAAACAGTTTAATCTGACTAGGACAGAGCTGATGTAAGACTAATGGTGTATGTTACATAGCCAGCTTTAACCAAACTGGGTTTGGTGTTCATCGGTGTCCACCGGTAATTGTGGGTTTGGTGTCCATTTTGTGTCTTGTGTTGATTGGAGGTCCCGTCCTATTGTGGGTCTGGGGTCAACTTGAGGTCCCGTCCTATTGTGCTATCACCAGGTGGTCCCATCCTGTTGTGTAGGTCTTGTTAAATAGACACCGTGTCCTATTGTGGATCTGGTGTCAACAGAAGGCCAGCGTCTATTGAGCTCTATTGTAGATCCAATTCTGTTGCAAGTGGTCCGGTTCTATAGTGCCTGTAAGTCTCGTGAGGCGCTACTTCCTCTACTAAGCTGGCTAGCTATTCTCGAAACTTCTTAAGCCCTACGAACGTCTTAAGCCCATTCTTAACACATTGGCTACGATCAAAGTTAAGAATTCTTAAGGCTACGCACGTTTCGAGAATAATGACCCTCCCGGTTCCCAGCTCCCATTTTGCGATATGCGAGACGGGGCCGAGCTTACTTCCGGTACCACATTTCCGATGACAAGCGTATATTCAAGAACATGGCTAGCTATTCTCGGAACGTTCGTAGCCCTACGAACTTCTTAAGCCCATTCTTAACACATTGGCTACGATCAAAGTTAAGAAGTCTTAGGGCTGTGAACCTTTCGAGAATACGTTCTGGTTCCAAATTGCGCGACCACCAGATAGGACTTTTCTAGTCCGGATCAAGTGTACAACCATGCTTGGCTGTCACAGCTATTGACAGTTGTAATATTTGGCTGATTTGGGTATGGTTAGACGGATCCTGCAATGCTTATCGGTTCATTACTGTCGACCGACAACCATGAGACAATTCGAACAGGTATGAAACGTTGTTTGCCACCGGTAGTCCTGAGGTCTCGCGAAGTGCCGCGACCTACTTACGAGCCCTATTGTTGTCCCCGACTACTGGAACAGCAGGATTTATTATGGCCTGGTCAGTTTAACTGTCATGAGGTCTGTGTCCCGATCCACAATGCGGTCGTAGCGCTACGGCTCCGTAATCCTAACGTGCGCTATAGAGTTACGACAGGTCGAAACGTTACGAACGCCTTGTGGATCCGGACCCAGAAGTCTACTGGAACGGTCTTATATTTCTATTTTTCTATTCGGTTATCTATGGGGTCCCAGTGTTCATGAAGACCGTGGATGAAGTGGGGCAGTAACATCTGGTGGAGGTCGCCGTGATATTGCTAAAAACGGCGTGAAACCAAAACTCACTCACTCTGGTGGAGGTCAAGCGTTCATTAGAGGTCCAGCGTCTTTAGAGATCCAGTTGTGGCAATAAATAGGAGCACGTGACTATTTCCACAAAGGTCCAGCATCCACTGTGCCCACGACTCAATTGCGAAAGAGTGAAATCTGTGCGTGTTATGTTTGCGTGACCTCTGTTTAAGATCGGGTGTATGTGAGATGTTCAAGAGCGAATGGTTCACTGACATTGAGGTCGGGCGTCTATGCTCAATATGTTGCCATGGAGGTCCAGCGTGTATATAGTCCCGGCTTCTATAGAAGGCATTGGATGTACTGTCATGGAGGTCAAGCGTTACTTGGAAGAGCCGCGTCTATTTGTGAGTGTGTGAGTGAGTATGGTTTAACGCCACTTTTAGCAATATTCAAGCAATATCACGGCGGGGGTCACTAGCATTGGGTTTCACACATTGTACCCGGTTCTTCGGCGTGACGAGCGAACGCTTTCACCACTAGGCTACCCCAACGCCCTACCTCGTCTTTTAGAAGAAATAGGGTATATGATTGATATAATGTTATCAACCAAGAGACCTTGACAAAACATGCCATATCCTCCATCATGTGACCCACATTCAAACTGATAGACAGTGGTATGCTGATCAATACGCCTCCTGTAGATAACAGGCGCGTCTAGATCACCACAATACGCACAGCACCATGGAGATGAAGGTGGCAGTATTTTGTCTCAGCGTTGTGCTGATCGCTGGCCACGTCAGTGCACAGACACGTCGCAATGTTCTTCTTGTATATGGTGAGTATCGTGTAATGAGGTTTATATCGACAGTAAACATGTGATTTCGGTCGACCAGCGGATCCTGGCACGGTTAAGGTACACAATTGGGGAGACTGATTTGTCATGCCTTTGGTCCTTTGAGCACCGCCACTTTCATAGTTTATATCGTTGTCTTCATGCTGATAATGCTGCTGATGGTGTTAAATGCTTCTAAGAACAGTTTCTTAATTATGTTACAGTGCGTAAGGGATAAGATCGATAAGTAGTAGTAGTAGTAGAAGTAGTAGCAGCAGAAACAGTAGCAGAATAAGTAGTAACAGCAACGGCAGCAGCAGTAGAAGCCGCAGCTGACGCAGCAGTTATGATAATACCAGTAGTTTTAGCGTCATCTGTCGCATTAGCAGCTGTAATTGTATCAGTAACTGCAGCACCAGCGCCAGTAGTAGTAGTCGCAGCAGCAGTAGTAGTCACAGCAGCAACGGTAGTAGTAGTCGCAGCAGCAACAGTAGTAGTAGTGGTAGTAATAGTGGGAGGAGAGCATACAACATATACGTGAGTGAGTGATTTCAGCTTTACGCCGCTTTTAGCAATATTCCAGCAATATCACGGCGAGGGACGGCAGAAATGGGCATCACACATTGTACCCATGTGGGGAATCGAACTCCTTTCTTCGGCGTGACGAGCGAACGCTTTACCCACTAGGCTACCCCACCGCCCGTACAACATACAAACATAGTATGGCTACCTGTAAGTTCAACTGCAGGTGACGATGCCGGGTTCCAGATGGGCGCCTACAACAACACGGCCTGCAAGACGCCAAACTTCGACAAGCTGGCCGCCAGGAGCGTCGTATTCAAACATGGCTACACCTCCGTTAGTAGCTGCTCGCCCAGCAGGTGAACAAAACGTTACTTTCTTACAGTCACAGCCGTTACAATGTGCATGTGTAAATCATTAATGTTCAGACGCGTGCATTTAAGGACGCCGTCATACTGAGAAATGGTGAGTGAGTCTGGTTTTACGTCGCTTTTAGCAATATTCCAGCAATATCATAGCGGGGAACACCAGAAATGGGGTTCACACAGTGTACCCATGTGGGGAATCGAACCCAGGTCTTCAGCGTGACGATTTGGGTCGCTTTAACCGTTAGGCTACCCCACCGCCCCCATACAGACAAATATTGCTGAGAGTGGCGTTAAAATACAGAGAAATCGAAAATATATTTTAAAACGTAACCTTGATTTGTCTTCAAATTTGTGTACATTTCGGCCAGTAATGTGTTCGCATGTCTTTGGTTGCCTCGGAAGTAATCTAGACGAGGCTCATTGATACGGTCGTGTCAACATTAACCGTTGGTCAATAATAACATATATGTGTCCTTTGCAGGGTGTAGGGAAGTGACCTGAAGGTGTGTTACGTCATATTCACTTTTATTGCACGTGTATGCGTGTGCGTGAGTTGGCGCGTTTGTTTTGTTTGTTTGTTGTTTAACGCAGCAATATTCCAGCTATATGACGGCGGTCTGTAAATAATCGAGTCTGAACCAGACAATCCAGTGATCAACACCATGAGCATCGACCTACGCAATTGGGATGCGATGACATGTGTCAACCAAGTCAGCGAGCCTGACCACCCGATCCCCTTAGTCACCTCAAGCATCGGGTGCTGAATATTAATTCGAACCCGGATCTTCACGAGTCGTTATATTAGTCCGAAATAATACTGCTTTGCTGAGCGGGCTCACTTACATTCCATGAAACGGCTTAACACGTTTAAACCGCCATTAAAAGTATGGGGTCATCCATACACTAACCCCAGGTAGAGTTTAGGCTACCATTATTACTACTCCGTTGGGCCGACTGAAATGAGTGAGTGAGTTGGGTTTTACGCCGCCTTCAGCAATATTCCAGCATTATCACGACAGGGGACATCAGAAATGGGCTTCACACATCGTTCCGATGTTGAGAGTCGAACCTAGGTCTTCGGTGTGACAAGCGGACGCTTTAATCACTAGGCTATCCCACCGCCCCCGACTAAATTGAACCCTGGGTGATTACATGTTCCGTAGTCTTCCTACCCTCCATGCTGTTGAGTTGTACTCTTTCTATCAACCACTGGTTTGCCTGACCACGACACGGCTACTCACTGCCCGCCGTGATATAGCGTGATAAGGGAAGACGGCGGCGCAAAACACTATTCACTGACTCAAAACACGTGTGTTCATCTTAGGTCCGTGTTGCTGACTGGCCTCCCTCAGCACCAGAACGGGATGTTTGGCTTACATCAAGATCCGCACCATTTCAACAGTATGGACACAGTCCGGGCACTTCCTACCATCCTCGGCCAAGCTGGGATCAGAACAGGTACGCAATCCCACAAAGGCGTCACCATAGCAACGGGAGATCAACACCTTAGAGTGTTCAGTTCCTAAATCATATAGAGCGCTTCACAAATTTTGTATATTATTTAATTATTAGCACTATCAATCAACTTTACTAATGTGATGCGACTGGACATAGATTAGCTATATTTCATTCATATTATCATATTCCCTCACCCGATTATCATATAATATATGTTTGTTTTATGTGGGAGAGAGGGAGTTTAGTTTTACGCCGCTTTTAACAATATTCCAGCAATATCATGGCGGGGAACACCAGAAATGGGCTTCACATATTGTACCCATGTGGTAAAATCGAACCCGGGCTTTCGGCGTGACGAATGAACGCTTTAACCACTTGGCTACCCCACCACCCCTTTGTTTTATGTATCTCTCCTGGGGGCTACGCATCGCCACTTTAGCCCAGCGGATAAGTGATCAAATTGTGCACTTTGTGTTACAAGCATGACATTTGGCATGATTGTAGCTTATACCGTTCTTCTTAAATAAAGATCGAGAGGCCTCGCAGATTTTTTTACATGTATCTTAATTGGGGTGTGTGTGTGTGTGGAATGCTTCTCCAAAATGTTTTCTTTTTTATTGTATAAATCGTTTTCGTCACGATATGGCTGAGATATTGCCGATGTGACGTTCAATATTAACTCACTCACTCACTGATGTAGTCTATATGGCGGCCATTTCTCACTCACTGATGTAGTCTATATGGCGGCCATTACTCACTCACTGATGTAGTGTATATGGCGGCCATTACTCACCCACTAGTCTATATGGCGGCCATTACTCACTCACTGATGTAGTCTATATGGCGGCCATTACTCACTCACTGATGTAGTCTATATGGCGGCCATTACTCACTCATTGATGTAGTCTATATGGCGGCCATTACTCACTCACTGATGTTGTCTATATGGCGGCCATTACTCACTCACTGATGTAGTCTATATGGCTTGAAAAATGGCCGCCATTTAGACTACATCAGTGAGTGAGTGAGTTAATATTGAACGTCACATCGGCAATATCTCAGCCATATCGTGACGAAAACGATTTATACAATAAAAAAGAAAACATTTTGGAGAGTAAAACCTGTCGACGATGGACAGTAAAAATACTAGAGTATCACAGATATGAACATAAAATTAGCATGTAAAACTAAAAGATTTTAATAAAAGAAGACAATACAATATAAAACACGGGCTATAAATCGCCAACGACTGAAGGTAGATCACCATACTAAGAACCATGGGGACTTACATTACTTTTGCTACCTGCATGGACCCTAGCTGGATTTACACCATCTCTTCAGCCGCTGGCGATGGTAGGAAGATTTAGCCGAAATTAAAATCACAAAAATACTACGATTAAAAAGTATGGTTGAGCGAAATTGACTTTGAAAGTGTTTGGGACTCACGTACCCTCTCAGGAGGACAATAATTTTACAATACTTTAACCCCCCTTCGAGCATACAGCCACTAACAATCGCAGTTGCCAATTCATACTACCATGATTAAAATACCATTTATCTATTTACAACACATATTATTCAAACTTTATGCAATAATTCTATTTCCTTTAAAATTTCAATTAATAAATGATAATTAACATTATGAAAAAGATCCTTAATTGTTTTGACATGAAAAAAATACTTATCCCTTGTGATGGAAAATTCAATGCAGGGCATGCTTGACTGTGATTCTCTCATCACAAGGGATAGAAAACGGATGATCTTCACCTTTGAGCAAATCTATGTGTATCTGGTTTCACAGCTTCACGGCCTGTGACAGTGTGTCATCCTTTGATAGAATTGAAAAGAAGACCTCGTGGAATGCATCGAACGCTTTTCCTGAACTTACAGGCACTTTTATTTCCCTCGCTTGTCCACCACTTGAAATCACTCATGCACAGAATCATCAGCTTGAGAGATCTGTTGTGCTGCTGTATGACAGAGCAAGCAAACTCATGAAAGTGAATGAAGTAAGAAATCATTTGTTCGACACGAAGGGGAGAACACTGGACAATATTCCCCCAACAGCATCAGCTTTGAACCAACATAACTTTGGACAACTCTCCTGAAGGCATGAAAGAGCTGCCAGGAATTGCTGAAATGCATGTGTAAAAATGTTCAAACTGGTCCTAGTGTGTAACCTTCCACAGATTGATGAGATAGCTACTTTGATATTGATGTTGAAATGAAACATGTTTGTGTTGATATTGATATGTCTTTTTTTCTAAGTGATCTATAGCCAACCTAGCTCATATATTATACATGTAAGTAAATCTAATGATATATTCCTTCAAATAAACTTCCATCCAATCTCACAATATACTAGATACATAATTTATGAGGATTTAAAATTGAGTTAAAATAACATTTACCCACTTAATCTTTCAGGCATCATTGGCAAGAAGCACGTTGGGCCTGATGATGTGTACAAGTTTGACTATGAGCAGACAGAAGAGAACAACGTCATGAATCAGGTTGGAAGGAACATCACCTACATGAAGAACTATGTCCGTGAATTCCTCAATGTTCAGGACACTAGGTAATGAGGGGGAATAGGATATTGTATCGAGATTTCTGGGAGAGTGATGTGTGGCAAGGGGACCTGCGTGCGCGTGTGCGTGCGTGCGTGCGTGCGTGTGTGCGTGTGTGTTATTTGTTTTGTTCAGGTTGTAACAGTAAATCAATTTGTTCGCTGGACATTGAACATTGCCTGAATACAAACACATGCACATGTACACATTGGCCCAATCTTCCTTCTGGGTGTGGCCCGTGAAGATCCGGGGTAGAATAGGTCTTCAGCAACCCATGCTTGCCACAAAAGGCGACTATGTTTGTCGTAAGAGGCGACTAACGGGATCGGGTGGTCAGGCTCGCTGACTTGGTTGACACATGTCATCGGTTCCCAATTGCGCAGATCGATGCTCATGCTGTTGATCACTGGATTGTCTGGTCCAGACTCGATTATTTACAGACCGCCGCCATATAGCTGGAATATTGCTGAGTGCGGCGTAAAACTAAACTCACTCACTCACTCACTCCTTCTGGGTGTTTTGAAGCAGCGACTAACACTATTCAACCTCAATAATACCCTTTTCAGCAACAAACAGATATGTGTGACCGATCTTTTTCAAGAGAGCAAGATACTCCCAGGTCACAGACCGAAGCGAGGAGATTAGCATGTGCCCATCACGCTTCTAAAAGAACGGCCCGGGAAGAAGGCCTAAAATATTTTGGGAAGCAAACCAGGGTGCTTGTTTGTTTGTTTGTTCGTTTATGGCTTAACGCCGCACTCAAAAATATTCCATCAATGGCAGCCGTCTGTACGACTAACGGTATCGGGTGGTCAGACTCGCTGACTTGGTTAACACATGTCATCGTATTGATATCCCAACTGCGTAGATCGATGCTCATGATGTCAATCACCGGATAGTCTGGCCCAGACTCGATTATATACAGATCGCAGTCATGTAGGTGGAACATTCTGAGTGAGGCGTTTAGCAACAAACAAACAAAACGATATTATGCTTCTTCAGGCCATTCTTCCTCTATCTGGCTTATCACGACCCTCATCGTTCTACAAATCCAAATCTCGGGCAGTTCTGTGAGCGCTTCGGCGACGGCCAAGCAGGCCACGGAGTCATCCCTGACTGGAAGCCGGTGACCTACAGACCTGAAGATGTCGAGGTCCCCTACTACCTGCCGGACACTCCGGCCACCCGCCAGGACCTCGCCAACATGTATAAAACCTACAGTAGGATGGACCAAGGTGACGTGTAGCTGACTGAAGCTTGTGTGTTCTGTAGAGGTGCTTTGTTGCTCGACGTAGGTTTGTTCCACGTTTGTTTTAGCGCCACGATTACCATGACACCTTTGCTCTAACATAGACTTGAGAATTGTTATAGTCCGTTTGATTTCATTTTAGACCCACGAATTGCTCACTAACACAAAATCTAATAATTGCAACAAAACCAAATTTTGCACAGTCGCATGAAATCGACAGACCAACTCTGATGATTTATCTCATAATTATTGACGCCCGAATAAAAAAGTTTAACAAACGAGCACTATTTCGTTGTCACTTTTCTCTATTTCTTACGAGGGATGACCACTTGCTGCTAGAACAGCCAGGTAATCAACAAGCGTGTGCAGTGAAATTTCAATTTCACACGTACAACTCGCACACCTGGCTGTTCTACCAGTAAGTGGTCCTCCCTCGTCAGAAAAAGCGAAAAGTGACAACAAAATCATGATCGTTCTTTAAACAACGTTTCCATTCGGGTGTCCATAATTATGAGACAAATCATCTGAGTTGGTTTGTCGATTTCATGTGACTGTGCAAAATTTGGTTTTGTTGCAATTATTAGATTTTGTGCTAGTGAGCAATTTACCGGTCTAAAATGAAGTCAAACGGACTATAGGGTTGGCTGGAATGAGCGAGTTTAGTTTTACGCCGCTCTCAGTTCTATTCCAGCTATAAGGCGGCATCCTGTAAATAATCGAGTCTGGACCAGACAATTTAGTGATAAACGGCATGAGCATCGATCTGCGCAATTGGGATACGATGACATGTCAAAGTGGTCAGCAAGGCTGACCACCTGGACCATTTTGATACATGTCATCGTATTCCAGTTGTGGAGATCGATGGTAATGATGTTGATCTCTGGATTGTCTGGTCCAGACTCGATTATTTACAGACTGTCGCCATATAGCTGGAATAGCACTGAGAGCGGCGTTAAACAACAAACAAAGTGGTAGCGGCTTCAAAGTAGCTTGCGCAACAGAGGCAGGGGACCAGTCTTATGATGCAAAAAAAGGCAACAACAAAACTGTTCATGGACGAAATTCTTTCGCAAGACACATACTTTTACAAATACCAACCAAACTCTCTAAGAAAGAGATGATCTTGTGCAACGTTTTCCATGATTGTATTTCTCAATTGAGTAACAATGTTCACTCGAGGTGTAAGGGTCACATAAATGTACATTATTTTGTGTATATAGGGTTGGGCATATTCCTCAAGGAGCTTGAAGACGCAGGTTTCATCGACAACACCCTCATCCTCTTCTCCTCCGACAACGGCATCCCTTTCCCGGGAGCCAAGACCAATCTGTATGACCCAGGGATGGGGGAACCGATGATGGTGTCTTCACCGCTCCATAAAGAACATTGGGGAAAGGTACATGGAAACGATAGCAACATTTTTGCCATGCCATCATAAGGATTTTTGATTATATCCCCCGTTTGTTTCAGGATTAGATAAGATCCATAAGGTGTCGAGTTGTTACGTTTTGTGAAAAGATGTGCCCTAATCCTCAACCCATTAACGTGAGTGAGTGAGTATGGCTTTTGCGCCGCTTTTAACAATATTCCAGCAACATCACGGCGGGGGACACCAGAATTGGGCTTCACACATCATTAACGTGTTTATGGATTTCACTAAATTGCTCAACCTTCACGGCCTCTAGCACAATGGGCTTTCTCCCAACCCGTATCGAATGTTGGATACGAGCAAACTACTTTTTCAAATGTTAACATCAGACTCGGTTGATGTCAGCCAGGAAACAATCATCAAATCTTCTCCATTTGTAATAGATCGATTTATGTTTTACTCAAACATTTCTCGGGAACATATTATCAGAGAGATCACTGCTGTTTTTGCAAAGCAAAACGTCTCACTCCCGTCAAAGGCACATTTATAACCTTGGGTTAAATGGATCTGTACGTAAATGGGTACATGACTTTGTGCAGGTCACGGAGGCAATGGGGAGTACGATGGACTTCGCGCCCACCGTCCTGGACTGGTTCAACGTCACCTACCCCAAATACGCCATCGACGGCAAGCAGGACGTGACGCTCACAGGGAAGTCCCTTCTCCCTGTGGCCGCGAACCCAGACACGAGCCAACCCGAGTACTCCTTTGTCTATTCCAGCCACGACATGCACGAAGTCACGATGTTTTATCCAATGAGAGTCCTCCGTACAAACCAGTACAAATTAATCCACAATTTGAACAGCCATGCTCCATATCCATTGGCTGGAGACATCTACCAATCACCGACCTTCTTGGATCTTCTAAACCGTACCCACAACAACGTTGAAACCCATTGGTTCAAACCGCTGAACACTTACTATTACCGCGACCAATGGGAACTGTACGACCACCAGGCGGATCCAATGGAGTTACGTAACTTGGCTAACGTGTCAGAATACCAGTCAGTGCTAACAAGCATGAAAAAGCAATTGTTTGGATGGCAGACGGTAACCAGCGACCCCTGGCGGTGTTACCCAGCAGGTGTTCTACAAGGAGACAGTTGTGGTCCGCTGTATAACGGGGAGTCTCCTTCTGTGTAAAGACGATTAAACCGTGATGACAAATAATACCAAAATTTACGTTTAATTCCCTTATGCATGTACTTTAATATTTATGTATTAAATAATATATATTGGTTATTTTTTAATTTATATATGTAATGCTGCATTTTCTTTTCATGTATTTGTCAATTTGTTTTCGGTTTCGTAATTGGCGTGTATTATGACGTTATCCCCGCTTGTTTGGGCCAGCTTCATGTTGAAGTAAGAAAACCATTGGATAAGATATCATAGCAAACGTTAGGTTCACACCACACGTATTCCATATTGTGACAATTGTTAGAACAGTATATTACCAGTTACTTAAGTGAGTGAGTCTGGTTTTACGCCGCTTTTAGCAATATTCCAACAATATCACGGCGGTGGACACCAGAAATATTCTTCACACATTGTACCCATAGGGGAATCGACTTCAGTTTGACGAGCGGATGCTTTAACCACTCGGCTACCCCACCGCCCAACCAGTAACTTAAGTATATATTTCAGATTGTGAAACATACTGGATATAATGTAAATATTTGTAACAGAAGTATTTCTTCTTGTGGAAATTTCCGGAATAACATAAAAAAAAATAAAAAAAATATCAAGTTTGTTGTATTGTGGAATTGTTACAATAGTGTAACAATGAACTGTAACTGAACTATTTCGGATTTTTAAGGTTCATTGAGGTCGGGCGTCTATACTCAATATGTTGCCATGGAGGTCCAGCGTGTATATAGTCCCGGCTTCTATAGAAGGCATTGGATGTACTGTCATGGAGGTCAAGCGTTACTTGGAAGAGCCGCGTCTATTTGTGAGTGAGTGAGTGAGTATGGTTTAACGCCACTTTTAGCAATATTCCAGCAATATCACGGCGGGGGTCACCAGAATTGGGTTTCACACATTGTACCCGGTTCATCGAACCCGGTTCTTCGGCGTGACGAGCGAACGCTTTCACCACTAGGCTACCCCACCGCCCCACCTCGTCTATTAGAAGAAGTAGGGTATATGATTGATATATTGTTATCAACCAAGAGACCTTGACAAAACATGCCATATCCTTCATCATGTGACCCACATTCAAACTGATAGACAGTGGTATGCTGATCAATACGCCTCCTGTAGATAACACGCGTGTCTAGATCACCACAATATGCACAGCACCATGGAGATGAAGGTGGCAGTATTTTGTCTCAGCGTTGTGCTGATCGCTGGCCACGTCAGTGCACAGACACGTCGCAATGTACTTCTTGTATATGGTGAGTATCGTGTAATGAGGTTTATATTGACAGTAAACATGTGATTTCGGTCGACCAGCGGATCCTGGCACGATACGCAATTTGGGACACTGATTTGCCATGCCCTTGGTCCTTTGAACACCATCATTTTCATAGTATATATAGTTCATATTCCCTCTTTTGTCTTGATGGTGGTGGTGATGATGATGATAATGATGATGATGGTGTTAAACGCAGAGCACTAAGACCAGTATCTTAATTATATCAGTGTGTCAGGGGGTGAGACTGAGTAGTAGCAGTAGAAGTAGTAGTAGTAGTAAGTGAGGTGAGGTGAAATTGGGTTTAACGTCGTGCTTGAGAATATTTCGCTCATATGACGACGTGCATGCGTGTGTATCTGTATGTGCGGCTGCTTGTACTAGCCCAGACTGAAGCTGGTTTTATAGTGCTAGCCCACTGAGATACCATGCCGCAGTGAAGCATGAATACCCCACTCAGACACATTATACTGACTCCGAGCCGACCAGTCCTTGATGTACACATTAATGTCGAGCTCCAGGCAGGGACCAACAAGTACCATATGTTAACGTCTTTTGGTATGACGCGGTCGGGGATCGAATCCGCGACCTTCCGCTCTCCAGGCGGACGCTCTTACCACTACACCACGGAGGCGGTCTAGTAGTAGTAGTTGTAGTAGTAGTAGTAGTAGTAGTAGTAGTAGTAGGAGTAGTAGTAGTAGTAGTAGTAGTAGTAGTAGTAGTGGTGGTGGTGGTGGTGGTGGTGGTGATGGTGGTGGTGGCGGTTGTATCAATGGTTGTAGTAGCAGCAGCAGAATTAGTAGTAATAGCAACAGTAGCAGTAACAGTTGTAGCAGACTAACAACTAGTATTTTACTGAATAAAGTTCATAGTGAAAACAATAATATATATAATGAAAATGAGCCCTGAGACTTTCTTCATTTTCATTTCTGAGGCTGAGGAAATCTAGACTTGCCAAATTTTCTAGAATTGCGTGGGCTTTCTTGGATATATTTGCTTCAGGGTCTGTACGACAGACTACAGTTGTAGTAGACGAAGCTACAGTCGCATCAGTGGTAGCAGTAGAAGCAGTTGCAGCAGCAATAATAATATTACTAGTAGTTATAACATCAGCATTAGTATTAGCAGTCGTAATTGTAGCAGTAGATGCAGCACCAGTAGTGGTAGTCGCAGAAGCAACAGTAGTAGTCGCAGCAGTAGTCGTAGTGGTAGTGGGAGGAGAAGATACAACATACAAACTGTAGTAAGGCTACCTGCAGGTGACGATGCCGGGTTCCAGATGGGCGCCTACAACAACACGGCCTGCAAGACGCCAAACTTCGACAAGCTGGCCGCCAGGAGCGTCGTATTCAAACATGGCTACACCTCCGTCAGTAGCTGCTCGCCCAGCAGGTGAACACAAGTTTTCTTCCCTACAGTCACAGCTGTTACAATGTGCAAGTGTCCTTCGGTGTAGATGTGTAAATCGTCAATGTTCAGACGCGTGCATTTAAGGACGCCGTCATACTGAGGAATAGTGAGTGAGTCTGGTTTTACGTCGCTTTTAGCAATATTCCAGCAATATCACGGCGGGTGACACCAGAAATTGGCTTCAGACATTGTACCCATGTGGGGAATCGAACCCAGGTCTTCAGCGTGACGAGCGAACGCTTTAATCATTAGGCTACCCCACTGCCACCATACAGATGAATACTGCTGTGAGTGGCGTTATATACAGAGAAATCGAAAATTTATTTTAAAACGTAACCTTGATTTGTCTTCAAATTTGTGTACATTTCGGCCAGTAATGTGTTCGCATGTCTTTGGTTGCCTCGGAAGTAATCTGGACGAGGCTCATTGATACGGTCGTGTCAACATTAACCATTGGTCAATAATTAATTAATTAATATATATTAATAATATGTGTCCTTTGCAGGATGTAGGGAAGTGACCTGAAGGTGTGTTACGTCATTTTCACTTTTATTGCACGTGTATGCGTGTGCGTGAGTTGGCGCGTTTGTTTTGTTTGTTTGTTGTTTAACGCAGCAATATTCCAGCTATATGACGGCGGTCTGTAAATAATCGAGTCTGAACCAGACAATCCAGTGATCAACACCATGAGCATCGACCTACGCAATTGGGATGCGATGACATGTGTCAACCAAGTCAGCGAGCCTGACCACCCGAGCCCCTTAGTCACCTCAAGCATCGGGTGCTGAAGATTAATTCGAACCCGGATCTTCACAAGTCGTTATATTAGTCCGAAATAATACTGCTTTGCTGCGCGGGCTCACTTACATTCCATGAAACGGCTTTACACGTTTAAACCGCAATTAAATGTATGGGGTCATCCATACACTAACCCCAGGTGGAGTTTAGGCTACCATTATTACTACTCCGTTGGGACGACTGAAAGAGGTGAGGTGAAATTGGGTTTAACGTCGTGCTTGAGAATATTTCGCTCATATGACGACGTGCATGCGTGTGTATGTGTATGTGCGGCTGCTTGTACTAGCCCAGACTGAAGCTGGTTTTATAGTGCTAGCCCACTGAGATACCATGCCGCAGTGAAGCATGAATATCCCACTCACACACATTATACTGACTCCGAGCCGACCAGTCCTTGTCGTACCCATTAATGCCGAGCGCCAGGCAGGGACCAACAAGTACCATATTTTAACGTCTTTTGGTATGACGCGGTCGGGGATCGAACCCGCGACCTTCCGCTCTTTGGGCGGACGCTCTAACCACTACACCACGGAGGCGGTCGACGACTGAAATGAGTGAGTGAGTTGGGTTTTACGCCGCCTTCAGCAATATTCCAGCATTATCACGACAGGGGACATCAGAAATGGGCTTCACACATCGTTCCGATCTTGGTAGTCGAACCCAGGTCTTCGGTGTGACAAGCGGACGCTTTAATCACTAGGCTATCCCACCGCCCCCGACTAAATTGAACCCTGGGTGATGACAATGTTCCGTAGTCTTCCTACCCTCCATGCTGTTGAGTTGTACTCTTTCTATCAACCACTGGTTTGCCTGACCACGACACGGCTACTCACTGCCCGCCGTGATATAGCGTGATAAGGGATGACGGCGGCGCAAAACACTATTCACTGACTCAAAACACGTGTGTTCATCTTAGGTCCGTGTTGCTGACTGGCCTCCCTCAGCACCAGAACGGGATGTTTGGTTTACATCAAGACCCGCACCATTTCAACAGTATGGACACAGTCCGGGCACTTCCTACCATCCTCGGCAAAGCGGGGATCAGAACAGGTACGCAATCCCACAAAGGCGTCACCATAGCAACGGGAGATCAACGCCTTTGAGTGTTCAGTTTCTAAATCATATAGAGCGCTTCACAAAGTTTGTATATTATTTAATTGTTAGCACTATCAATCAAACTTAACTCATGTGATGCGACTGGGCAGAGATTATCTATATTTCATTCATATCATCATATTCCCTCATCCGATGATCGTATAATATAATTTAATTTTATGTGGGAGAGAGGGAGTTTAGTTTTACGCCGATTTTAGGATTGTTTTCAGCATAATCACGACGAAGGACAGCAGAAATGGGTTTCACATATTGTATACATGTGGGGAATCGAACCCGGGCCTTCGGCGTGACGAGTGAACGCTTTAATTACTAGGCTACCCCATCGCCCCTTTGGTTTATGTATCCCTTCTGGGGGCTATGCATCGCCACTTTACAGAAGTCCAGGATATGTATATAGTGATGTAGCTACTATAAACTGATGTAAAAAAAATGTTCTTAGGTAAGGGAATACGATCGTTATCTTGGTCAAATATACGTTGCCGAACAAGTGAAATATAG